AAAAATTTGTAAAGAATTTCATAACAATTAAAGTTTTTTACATTGGTTTCACTATGTTCTTAAAATATGTTATGTAAGTGTACAAGATATAATATTAAACAGTGACATAAAGATAAGATTTTTTTTTTAAATGGTTTTAAAATATTTCGTAGGTTCAACTAATAACATATAATATGTACAATATGCTATTGTTAATTATAATTAAGTTACCATTATAACATGACAAATATAAATGCAGGTTATTAAACAGTTATTATAATAATAGAGAAAAAGTTTACGAATACAAACTCAATAAATATTTATAATATTATGATTGAAAAAGAATAATTAATTATTACTAATAAGCCTGAGAACGTAAAAATAAGATTTCATAACATTTTGTAAATATAATATACTAAATCTTTAATAACGTTTGTGCTATTTATAGTATGTATTATTATCTTAAGTTTAAAATATTAATTTTGAATAAAATACAGTGTTAAAGTAAACAATAATGCCATTGGTGTCAACTTACAAGTTTATAAAAATATTACTCAGAAATTCTGAACACTTTATTGAAATTATTCAACCGATAAAAAGTTTAAATATTTATAAAAGTACGTCATAACTCATAAATTAAATGAAATTAATAACGGTTATTCTTCTATATGTACATATTTATATGTATAAAATACTTTTTTTTGCAACTCATTCTTTTAATTTTTTTATACAATGGTATTGATGGCTAATCATTTTCGAATAAAAAAATTTTAAAATTTAAATCTTTCAAGGAGCTAACATAAAGCTAATCTCAAAATTGTTTTTAGTAAATAAGTAAATAATTATTTTTTATTATTATGAAAATATAATCGATGATTATAAAATAAATTATATAAGTTATATTATAAGTTAAAATTAATAAACACCTCTCATTTATAATTTAAATATAATATTTTACTTAAAAGTATTTTATTTTATTTTTAAACAGCTAACCAGCCACTATAAATTGCAGTAGTAATAAAATACGTTTTAAAAAACTACATATTATTTTATTACATTTTTTTTCTCCAGCACACCAATTTAAAAGTTATTTAAAAATAAAAATCAATATACAGTATAAAGTATAATTACAGTTTTTGTATCTAAATAATAACAATTCGCTGACGAATTAAAACTATAAGTAGGGTAAATTATATTTTAAACCATCAGAAAAAAAAGACGGTAAAGACAGGGTAAACATTAATATTAATATTTATTACCTACTTATTTCTTTACTTAAAAATGCATATATAACGATTTACACATTTTTTTTATACTAGATAAAATACTATTAAATAATTTAATGAGATAATATGTACAAGATATAAACTAAAACCTGAAAGACGTATCTCAATATTGATCATATTTGTATATATTTACATTGTAATAACTCAATTTCCCTTAGTGTTAATGTATATTTAAAAATGTATAATCTAATTTTAGATTTAGTGTATAGTGTATATTAGTGTATAGTAATCATTTAGAAAATTGTACGCTACATTGACCATATTTATATTATTTTTATTGGGCTTTTGCTCGTCCAAATAAAAAAATAAATAAAAACATAAATGTATGGATATAATATTTACCTTATATTATATAATCAAAAATATTTAAATAACAAATACAAACATAATATAACGATGGAAAATGTTCAAAAAATATATAAAATTGAATTAAAAATTATTTATGTAATAAAATGTAAGTTACACTTAAGTAAAATATATATAGGTATTCACTACTCTTAAGACTATCAACTGTAATGACAGGTAAAATGTTTAATTTGGAAAATGTTTTCGAGGGAATATTTTTATTTTTTTAGGTAGTTTAAAAGTAAATATTTTTAATTCAAAAAATAATTGTATTATATAACTTTTAATATTCATAGTTTTTTCTTTCAAAATTATTAGGTAATCAATATAATTTCTTCATACAAATCAAAAATATTTATTTAAGAGTAAAAGTAAAATTATAGAAATTAATAACATTTAAAAAATAATTTCTATTATTGATAAGTAATTTTTTATTTTTTAAGAAACTAATATTAAAATACAATACAATTTGTCTCAACAATTAAAATAATATACAACAGGAAGAAGGATAAAGATATGAAAAACATATTCATAAGAGATGAGAAACGTTGCATAAAATAAGATCCCCATTACGAGTGCAATAAGAAGAATCATTCAAGGATAAATAAAAGGAGTGAGTCGGGAGGCAATTGTAGCAAAGTCAAAGACGAGAATAGGAAACTATGATTTTTCGCGTTATAGGAATATTGTGAAATCAGAGAAAAGATAAAACGGAAAGACAATCTAAACGAAAAGATGCGGCAAATGTTAAGGGTAGGTTAATCAATTTCTAATTCTGAGCATTTGATGCAAAGGCTTTAAGAGCTGGTGAAAAGTCAGAATATGGAATTTTAATAGGCAAAGGAATAAAATTGGCGCATGAGATAGCAAGAAGGTCTGTGATTTCGTTTCCTAGGATACCGGTATGACAAGGGATCCATAAAAAAATAATATTAAAAGCTATCACTGGCAAGCATGAGCAAGTTTATGTCAATTAGAAGGACGAGATAAGGAGTAGCTGATTGAAAATGAGAAGAATTTAAAGCCACGAGACAAGCTTGAGAATCGAAAAGAATAACAAAGTTATGATTAGATAGCTTAATAGAGTAAAGAGCGTCTATTATAACAAGGCATTCGGTTATGAAAGAAGTGGCAGATAAGAGAACATTATTGAAAAACTCCATGAAACGCTAGGAATATAAAAAAAATAATCAGCGAATATTGCCGAAACTGATCCGTCGGTGAAAATTAAGCAATTAGTAAATACATTTAATAAAGAAAACTCTGCAGCCATGTCGATCGAACGATCTATATCATTCAGGCTGCTAAATTAAGAAAAAAATTGATTGATGAAATATATTAATTCTTTTATCAACCACAAATCACGAAATCGATTTATCAATAGATGGAATGTTTCCCAAGGGTGACAATCTGTAAATGCATCTTTAACATTTATTCGTCAAGACTAAGGCAGAGGACTTGTAGCATTTGCATATTTGTTTTGCACAGTCACAAAAATAGCAGAGTACGAAACAAATATGTTTCATGTTTTAACAAAACTAGTTTTGAAATTTTATTTTAAATATAAATATATATTTTGAGTATATTTTGTTTTTAAGGCATATTTAATTTTTATTATTATTAACTTTTATACGCCATTTTATACTTTTTGAGACATATTTAACTTATATCAATTTTTTTCACACCATAGTTTTTGGTTTTTAATTTTCAAATTAAATTGTACCTATAAATACAATCATATAAACATCTTGTATTATCTATAATATAATGCAAAAATAAAAATATCCAAGTATTTTTATATGAATATTAACATTTCGAATACCTTTCGATAAAATTATATCTAATATATAATGTTAAATATAAATTTTGAATTACTGTGAATTTAACAGAACAATTAAAATCAACATTATAAAGTTGTCTTGTTGTTTTCATTAGATTAAATTCAAAGTTTTCAAGGTAATTAGACTTGAAAATTTAATTAAAAGATAAAAAATATCTAGAGCAGTTCTCTCATAAATATCTTTAGTACGTGATTTAAATTGTAGTCCTCAGTAATTTCTTTGTTCAGGAATCGATTTCGAATGGAATGCCAAATGTTACTTTTAGGTATATTTTTAAATATAGCAACGTAAAAGTTTAATCTAGTGTATCCCCTCTACGTCTGTTATCACCTTAACAGTATCTTGCCTGTGAGAAGCAAAACGTTAAAGGGCAACCATACGAACTTTGTAATTTATGTGCGCGTTATTTTTTTATACTCAATAATACAGTACATACAAGTAATAATATTATTACAATTAAACACATTACCATAATATTACAGTAATAACAAAAATAAAATAAAAATAAATGTCGGTAATATTTGTTTTTTTCGAATTATAATTTACCGAAAAAAAAAAATAATGTCAAAGACGTAAACGAAAAGTTTCTTAAACAGTAGAGACAAATCGCTTTGTATCGAGAAAAACAGCTGAATCCAAGGCTGATTTTGTAATCAACATGCATAGTGAGCCTTTAACATATGTTCAAGTAAATGTGCAATTTTAAAATTAAATTTTTCATCAACAAGGATAATCATAGTAACAGTAAAACCCATAAGTTTTCCATAAACCAGAGCAGCTATAACTATGATGGCACCCCCTTCGTGTTTTTAAACCTTTATGTATTTTATTTCACTTGACCGAAACAATACTCATCACATACTGACGAACCCCCTGATGGACATTATTAGTACGATGATTAGTTACATAATTACAAACTATTATGGGTGTTAGTCATTTTAAATGATAAGACCGTCGAAAAGAATTTACCTGTTCGTGTGTAATCGCAAAGGAAATGTGTGTGACCGAAAATTCAATAATATATATTTCGACGGGGAAAAGTGTATGTGCGTAACGACAAGTTTAAAAATCGTTGTTTACCAACGAACGGAAAAGACGAACCAACAACATTGCCATGACACTTGTATTGTTATTAAGTGATAAGGAACCCGAAGATAACGGTGGTCAGGGGTTTTCATAATAATGGATGGCGATGATAATATTTGCTAACGATAGTTTAATATTTTTGTCGCTCCTCTCGTTCCCAACACACCCAACACAATCTCCTCTGAGACCTTAAGTCTCGTGAAGAATTAAACGGTATCCTGTAACGGATACATGGCGGGGCACGGTTCGTAGACGATCAACGGTGATATAGTATTCAATAACAACGTTATCGGCAACAAATACGACGGAGGCAGCTTGGCAAACACTGCTTATCTTTGAAGCCCCCAACGCGCAGTGTATTTTTTGATAGCATTGTTAATTCGGGACGTGATGTCCGACGTCCGGGTGTAGTGTCCATGGTGCCACGGTACCCGGACGTCATGGACGAAACGACGGACGGCGCTTCTTCCACGGGTGCTGTGACGTCACGAGTGCTCCGCCGCAGTGGCGGTGAACCATAGAGTAAAGAATGTGAACTGGTTACCCAACGGTGCCGCGATCGTTTTCCGGCGGTTACGACGGTTTGGGCTGCGTAGGTAGCGCCACCACGGCTACGATAACATCGTTCGCGTCGATTAGTGCGTATCAACACCGCGTTCATCCGGCTTACCTGCTCGACGGTGTCACGGTGCTCACGATTTTTGCTTGATATTTTGAATTGTTTTGTGTGCCCAAGAGTGTTGGCGTGAGTAATAGGTTCACTTAACTCGCGTTTTGCCCAACTTTTTCTTCTTCACACTCCTATTTCGTACTTAACAGTTCCTTAGTCGTCCGTCTAGCCATTTTCTTTGTTCTCCGTTTATTTGACCACCCGATGTGTTTGCAATGAACGGAATGTCGTTCAGCGAATTGATGTACTTGTTCTGTTGTCCACCCTTACCGTCCCGTATCGCTGCCAAACTCGCGTTCCTACCACCGCCGACCACGTACGATTTCACTCCCGTTGAGAGCGGGGAGAGTAAATATCACATCAAATTCAACGACAAAGCCGAATGGCAGTACACTGACAGTGACGTGCAGAATATCGAGGGATTCTACGCCCGGACGTCTCGTGGAAATCGCATAGCTTGTATATTCGTTCGGTGTTGTCCCAATGCTCGCTACACCATACTATTCTCACATGGAAACGCCGTGGACTTAGGCCAAATGAGCAGTTTTTACTTGGGTCTAGGCATGAGGATAAACTGTAACATTTTCAGCTATGATTATTCTGGTTACGGTACCAGTAATGGTAAGCCAAGCGAAAGAAATCTGTATGCAGATATAGACGCTGCTTGGCAAACATTAAGGACTAGCTATGGCATAAGTCCTGAAAACATTATACTATACGGACAAAGTATTGGCACAGTACCTACTGTTGATTTAGCATCTAGATATGAAGTGGGAGCTGTAGTTCTTCATTCACCATTAACATCTGGAATCAAGGTAGCATTTCCTAGATCCAAGAGGAAATGGTTCTTTGATGTGTTTACCAGGTAAATATGGTTTAATATTTTTATTTATCTGACCAATTCTATATTTAAAATATTAGTTAATATGTCAATATACCATAAGTCATAGGTATTTCTGGATTTAATTTTTTTACAAAATTACTTGGTCATGTGTGTTCACTGAGATCTAAACTACTTGCATTTTGTATTCATATGAATTAATAGAGTACATGCTTGAGCGCTACCCTTAAGGGATGAGAGAAGTATTTTTATTCCCAACATTTAAATTACCATTCCCAGATTTATTCATACAATATTATATACATATACATTAATTACAAAGTTAATTTAATAAGTATAAAAATAAACGTTAAATACAGTTTCGATTGTAGTGGCTTTTTTGATACCTGACTATCAGGTAATATCAATTTTTGATTTGAAACTGGTTAGGATACTTTATAGATATAATAATATTTCACGCTGAACTTTTAATTATTTATATATTAATTCACGAGTACTAACCATGTAATAATTTTTAATATTAATTTAAATAATTTTATTGTTTTTTTTATAAATTTATAAGTTATATTTACAAAATTACAATACAGTTCAATATAATATTTTCATTTATTTCACCTACGAGATATATTAATATATTATTTGTAAACGTCTATGGTATCATATTTTTATCACATATTTAACTGTGTTGTTTCATGACTATGCAGTACAAAGACAAAAATTAGGATCTTAAAAAATCTATATAAATCTATATAAACTTATTATAATGACCATTAAAATAATTATTGCTTCTGTAACATGTTATAAGTCTTTTTCAGATATAAGAAAAAAAAAATGTCTTAATTTAGGCCAAAATTGTTTTCCCAATTTATCACTTATAAGCATAGAAAGAGATATACTAAATGAAATAAAAACTGGAACAGTAGGTACTAAATAAGTTTATATGAACTAATCGGAAAGTTAATTTATAATACAAAAAGTTGAGAGTTATGTATTGTAATATACTGTTTAATATGGAAATGTTTTTAAATTAAATAAATTGGCATAAGGGAGGCATAGAGGCAAAACTTCTCAGTTAACTTAATTACATAAGAATTTAGTTTATGAGTATTTAATCATTATAATAATGTTTTAACATTCATGTATAATACATTGTTATTATTATACTGCTGGTGATATAAGTACAAAATGAATATACATGTATACATATCGTATAAATATATTCTTTTTATAATTCTATATATTTAAAAATGAATAAGTACATAGCCACACCCTGTTTTATAATTTTATTGTTATATGTTTTATAACAATTTATAGTTATGCCTATTTAAATTTTATTTTTCATTTCATTACATAGGGTTATAATAATTTATATGAAATGGATATTTTGTGTAAACAAGTGAAGTATGTGGACAATTGGTTTGCTTGTTTATGTAGTAGAGTAATGTAATTTCATAGCTTATTGTTTGATTATATATACTAAAACAATCGTATAATTATATTTTATTTTCTAACAATAATAAATAATTTAATAAATTACATTTGTTTAGCCATGTTAATACATTTGTAAAATGGGCTGGAATTAATGATCTATTTAGTAATAGAAATATTTTTTTAATCTTAATTAATGATATTACCAAATAGTAAATCAAAATGATGTATAAATTGATTTGTTTTTATTTTAATTGTATTCATACTTATTGTATATTACCTAATATCATTACATATCTATTAAATTTCAATGATCAATTTATAAATAATACATTTCAACTATATTTTAACCTTTTTGTTAATATTTTGTTATCTTCAATATTTATTAAAAGTAATATTACATTCTAAGCTATTAATAATTTATAGTAATCAAGAGTTATTTTTAAATTTTTAAATTTATCTACAAATTTAAAACTGCTGCACAATTATAGTATTCAAAATATTATCTAAAAGTTATTTTTATAAAATATTCTAAATATCAAATATTTTAAATAACTTTTATTTTATCAACTGTGTGGTTTGTTCTACAGAGATTCAAAAATATCTAAACTCTTATTCATTAATGCTATATAATAGTAAATAAAATTAACCTTTTATAATAACTAAAATACAAAGGTAATTTTTTTTTTTTATAGTAAAATTTGTATTTTAGAAGATAATTATACAATGTATAGTATACATATTGGTAATTAATAATAATTCTTTATGATATGTGCCCATCATAAAACTGAATTAAATTTTCTTTAGAATTAGAACCAATTTACATCAAATAATAAAAATAATAATAATGAACTTATGAAATTTATTAGTAATAATAATAATTTTCCTAGCTTTACAATCCATTGAGGATCTTTACCACCAAAACTACCTTCTCCCATTTCTCTCTATCATTTCTGTCTATCAATCTTCTTTGTGGTGTTCTCCTTGGTCTCCTCCCCGTCAACGTCCAAGTATTTACTTCTTTTATTAGGCATCCGTCTGCTCGCCACGCATGTCCAGTACATTACATTCTTATACTTTTAATAAATTGCACAATATTTTCCTTTTTGTATAAATTTTCTAACTGGGTTCAATCTCAAATCCCATTGTTGTGTTTTGTTATTAAATACTAAAATTTATAAGTAGAACATAATAATAATGTAAGCATCAAAACTGAATACAAATAATAGTATATTAACTTTAAATGAATTCAAGGTAATTTAAAAGGTAACAAATTATTTATTTTTTTAATTATTTAATAATATCTGTATAGATCTTACAGTTTTTTTGAGATTTATGGTTACATGAATTATATATATAAATATATATATATATATATACGTAATTTATTGTCCTAATAAATTAGCTGAAAATAAATATAGCTAATAAACAATTTAAAATTGTAACCCACTATGGCTACTGGTCATTAGATAAGTTTTATGTATAGATAGAGTTACTAAAAGCTTAATTTCTGATGATTTTTATATTCTAGACTCACCCTTATTATCTGTATAATAAATAAATTTCTTAAACTAAAATATCATGCATTTTTCTTAATATATCTGAATTTAATAAATTTACAAAAAATGTTTAAATGTGTTTTATTTTTTCAGTATTGATAAAGTATCAGAAGTTAACTCTCCAGTACTTGTTATACATGGTACACACGATGAAGTGATTGATTTTTCACATGGTGTAGCTATTTATGAAAAATGTCCTAGAGCTGTTCCACCACTTTGGGTTGAGGTATATTATATTTTAGACTATTTTACTTGCCTATGACTAATTTCATTGGTTGTTTATGGTTATCATAAATATTATGTATTTCAGGGCGCTGGTCATAATGATGTAGAATTGCATAATGTCTATTTGGAAAGACTTAAACAATTTGTTACCACAGAGCTGCTCAACTGACATTTAATTGAAAAAAAAGATACAGATACATCGAATGGACAATCGCCCAGTATGCAAACTAATGGCTCAGCGACTGAAAAATTACTTTGGTAATTTTTTATTATTTTTTCAATATTACATGTTTGTGTAATATGTTGTATTATATTTATCATATTAAATATTAATTGTTCATACTATTTTATCATCTATTAAAATTCATGTACAATACATTTTTTAAATCATTTGCTTAATTGTTATTTTTAAGACATGACTATAACATTATTCCTAAACAAGTATTTTGAAGTTTAAATAATTTATAAATATTTATATATTATTTAATTAATATATTTATATATTATGTGCATAATATATTAATAAATTATATAATTCTTGTGTTTTATAATATATAAAAATTGTATCAGTGTTTTTTTTTTTTTTTTTTTTTTAACCAAATTTTTAAATTATTTTATGTTTATTATTATTATTATTATTTATTATAGGTTATATTTTATTAGGTTTATATTTATGAATTTATATTATTTAAATACAGTAGAGTACCTTTTAACCGAATTAATAGTTTTTAGTTTATGAATATTAAATTTGAACCTTATTTCCAAAGAAGGTTAAAAACCTTATTTTCTCATTAAAAAATACTTATTTAATTGATTAACAACCAATCCAATTTTAGTTAAATATTGGTGCTCTACTGTTACGTTATATTTATAATATTGTACTATTACTATGTGTCAATACATTATGCAGATGACTAATTTTCAGTTTTTTACTAGTAAAATACTAGACTTGACTTGATTATACTATTTACATTTTTATATGGTTATATTGAGTGTCTCTTTTTTTTAATTATTTAAATTTAAATGTATACATTAAGTTGAACAAAACAAATATTTTTTACGTGCACATTGTTTTATATGATGTCTTTTGAATTTAAACATGTTATATACTATAAAACATTTAATACAATATTGATAAAAGCATAACATTTACTTTTAATGTTTTTGTGGCCTTATAATATATTTCATGTACCTTATTTTCAGTGTAATTTGTATGAAATTAAACACTATTTCTCATATAACTTATACAGTTGTCCATTTTTGATTGATACCTAATCTAATTTTATTTAATTCTTTACATTTAATGAAATATATTTATAAATATTATTGTTTATATGGACCAGATCATAGTAATAATATAACTTTTTTTGTTGAATTTTCTTAATCATATATTATAGAATATATAATATTTAAAAATAACATAAATCAATTTAAAACTGAATATACATAAATAATATATTTATTTTTGGTGGACTGAGCATATCATAATTTTATATATTTTGTTTATTTCATTTTTTTTTATTTATTTAATTTGTTTATTTATTACCTTAATTTTTAAAGGCAACATAATTATTGAGTATGGATTAGTTACAAATTTAAATTAACTGTAATTGTCTTCATTAGCTATCCAATTTTATTTTCTGTTTTATAAAAATAATATATAATATTATTTATACATGCTTAATATATAAGTATAATATTGAAATGTTGCAATTGAGTCCTTGATTATATTTTTATGATCTGTGATATTTTATGAATTTCCACTGAGCCAAAGTTTTATACTAAAAAAATTAGTTTTAATTTCAATTGAAAAATGAATTCTCTAAAATACTCTCTAAATAACTGCTAAAAAATATACGTTTTCTTGTAATGTGTATTTTATTTCTATTGTTTGGTAACATTTTATTTTATAATGCTTTGTTATATATACAGGGTCATTTTAAGGATTACTTTAAGATTATTACTTATTTGCCCTATTGTGGAAATTCATTATCATTAACATTATTAATAGTTTAAATTATAGAATGAACTGATTGACTGTTAAAATTATAATTATCAGTCCTTTAAATTTTCTAGGTTTAGATTCAGTAATTCCATAATAAATATTATAAGTACGTAAATGCTTAGTTACATTTTATTTTGGTTTTACTATTTTAAATATAATTAATTGTTGAATTTCAATGATATATCTTTTGGATAACTAGAATATTTGAATTATTTTAATTCATTTACCATCTATAAAATTATGTATTATATCTAAATTATATCTAAGTTTATTAATCAATTGTGTATCTTCAGTTTATAAATTTAATAAATTAGCATTTTAAAACTATAATTTATGTAGTTTTATTTATGATAAACTTGAAAATCAGTTTACATAATATATTTATACTCTTAATACTTTATTTATTTTAAAAATGAAGTTTTAAAGATAATTGATTATTTCAATGATACTTAAGTATTTATCAATTAATGATTTATATTATTAGTGGTAATTTTTTAATAATGAATTCTTATAAATTTCATTGATTTAGTTTTTAGTTTTTTAATCTATTGATGTACAAATAATTTCACAAATTTTCCAAATCAATACTTATAGATAAATTTCACTTAGCTTGGAGTAAATTCATTTAAATGACATTTAGATTATTATTGCACAGAGATGCATTTTTACAAAAATTCACTAAATTGGACCACACGTTTATTCTTTGTGTTTACAATTTGTTAAAATATAAATAAATAAATAAATAGTTAATATATAGAAATAAATGATTAAAAGCTTAATGAGGAGTATTATGATATTTGTAAAGTACGACCGGTTTTATATTAAGAATTGGCAGGTATATACAAAGTCAATAAAATTATGATATGACTTATTTGATTTTTATTTGTATGCTTATTTTATTGACTTTGTATGTACCTGACGGTGAATTTTCAATTTGAAACTAGCTGAACTTTACAAATATAATAAGCCTAAGCTTTTATTGATTTATTTTCATATATAAACTATTGATTGTTTATTTATTTATTCATTTACAAGCATTACTTATTTATTAATTTTTTAAAACTAATTAATAAATGTTCATTTCTTATATTACACAACATTTTTATCCTTTTAAATGAGAAAATAAATCCCAACTATATATATAAATTTGATTTAGGATATATATGAAGGCTCGAGGACTAGTGTTAAGAATTTGTGTGGAATAACAGAATATTTTAACGTAGAAATTGATATACATCAGAGGTCGCCTCTAAGCTCTTGTTTATTCTCTGTGGTAACGGAAGAAGTTTCAATAGTGATACAGAACGAAATACCATGGTAAGTATATGATGTTTGCTAATGATATAGTTTTGGTAGGAGAAAATCTGGAAGAAGTTAATAATATTTCTTTTTCCTCTCTCTAATATTAAAGTTAGTACCTATACGTTATGCATCTTATATGTTGTTATATGTTTTTATCTGTTATCTATGTACTTCTTGTCTGTTAATTTTGTAAAAGCCGTTTGGCGTTTATTATAATATAATATAATAATAGTTTGGATTAATGAAGGTTAGCCCTTGAAGAAAAGGTAGTTGGTTGCAGAAATAAAACCGAATATATAGAGCAGCGGTTCCCAAACTGTGCGCCGCGGTGCCCTAGGGACACCTCGAGCACTTTCTAAGGGCGCCGCGGTCTATGGTTCATAAAAAATAGTTTAAAATCTATAGAATTTTTTTTTCCTTATTGTTTTCGTAAAAACTTTATAGTAAATAATGAAATATATGTTATTGTATATTCGGACATTCTCATTTTAACCTTATAATATTTTTATATAATAATTATTATAGTAATAACAATATTTTTTATTTATTTATTTTTTAAGTTTAAAAATTCATTAATGTATAATTAAGTTAAATTTTAATAAAATTAATAAAATTAGTTATCAATGGGTAATTTTTTTTTGTCCTGTCTTTCATGGTATTCACAGCAGGGCACCGTGGCTAAATTGAGTCCAAAAAAAGGCACTGCGGATAAAAAAGTTTGGGAACCGCTGATATAGAATATGATTTCGGAAGAAGATACCAAAAAGTTGAAGTGATGCAGGAGACCAATGACAATAAACGGTGATGTGATAGGTGAAATCGAGAACTTTAAAAGGTATTTAGTATCATTTGTACAAAAGGACGGGGATTTTAGCATGGATGTAAAACATAAAATTGAGTGATGTTGATTGAAATAGAGAAAAGTTTCGGGCATATATGACAAGGGAATTCTAATGAAGCTGAAAGGTAAATTTTACAAGAGTGTAATGAGATAACTATACTATATAGTTCGGAGTGTTAGCCGGTTGACAGAAAAATAGAACAGAGTATGAGCGTAAATAAAAAGCCTTAGATGGATGAGCGGAGTGACAAGAAAAGATAGAATAAAGAACGAGTATGTGAAAGGTTGTATTAGTGTAGTGTCGATAGTGGACAAGATGAGAGCAAATATACTGAGATGGTTTGGGATGGTCATGTGATGAGGCGAGAGGAAACAAAAGAATAAAAGAAGTAAGAGTGGTTATAAAAATGAATGTTTAAAGGAAGAGAGGGAGAGGAAGACCAAAAAAGAGATGGTTAAATATGATTAAAAATAATATAAAGGCCGTTGGTATGTAGAAAATCAAGACGTGTGGAGGCTTAGGACAAGGGTAACCGACCTCAAATAGTTGGGAAAAAGGTGAAGGAGAAGAAGAAGACAGAAGTATTGTCCTTTCAGACTTAATTGGTGTTACATATTTTAATATTTAGGTACATTAATTTCATTTGATATCGAATCTTTGTTTAAAAAATGACATGTACATTAGGTACCATAGAATATTTCCTGTTCAGTACTCTTTCTTAAACTTCGATGCTTTAACGTTTTTTTTTATACAAATTAAATTATTTTAATACTTTAATCTCTTGATAAATATTTGGGAGTGTAGGATTAAAGCAATTAAAAGAATCTGAACCATTATTGGTAAATTTAATGTATTTAATACTCACAGAGATGTAGAAAATAAGGAATCTTCGAAAAAAAAAACTGAAAGTTCAGTTATTTAATTAGGTAACATAAATAGTTTAAACTATGTGACTTGAAAAGATGTATATCATTATAATATTTTATATTTACTTTCCTAATTTAGAGATATTAATATAAAATTTACAAACTTATGAAAATTCTATGTGAAAATATTATGTATAATAAATCATCGATTTATCTCACCAATAATTTTTAATTAATTAATATAAATCATACATTTTAATACTTTTTATTTCTGTGGTAGTTCCTAAAAAAATCTATAAGTACTTCGTTTTTATTCGAAGTTAAAAACTCAACATGATAAAGAGCATTTTATTAGTAATTGTAAGGACAAATCATCCCACTACAATAAACTACAGTAAATGAACTGTACATATTATATTACACGAGTAGGTACATGATAATGCTACGCACTTCTATTATTATTTTTCTGTTACTATCATACAATCGTTGTATAATACAACTTTTATTATAATGCAGTACATATATTACATATATTACATGTATTTTTCTGTTTCTTGAGCAACGTCATGGTTATTCGTTTCTGGCTCCTGTAGATTTGACAGTGTTCATCGGATATACATACACCCGCAGGCCACACAGTTGCGCCCATGCATGCCCCATTGTATCGAACAATGTATACTTATATACGGTGACCCTCCCGACCACATACGTCCACATCCTCTACAGCCAAACACCACCACGTAGTTGTTGCTTTAAATGGAATCAACCATTGGTTTTTATTGCCTTGGCGTGAGTCGTGGGCGTTAAACTGGTTTATCGACAAGTACCCTACAGCACACGTACACGTTGAATTTTCTTACTGCGGCATTATTGTCGTGACCCAAAGATAGAAGATTATTATTACTACTGAAATCAAAAAAAAAAAAAAAAAAAAAAAAAAAAAAAAAAAAAAAAGATTATAAAAAAAGATGTTATATTTATATAAAAACCAAGTTGGTGTAAAAAATCTTAAAATAAATGTACAGATTCCTATTTCGTTTCCAAAAACTCAAAAAATGCTCAGAAAACTCGAGTACGCGCTAAAAACTTAAGAAAAGGACCTAAAAAAATAAAATCCAAAAAATGTAAAATGACTTTTTTATTATCATTCAAAAGTACATAAAACAAATTTGCGACAGGACGAGCACCGCACAGTAATATTTGGAAAAACAATGCAAAGCGCATCGAAATCCCAGCCAATATTGTTGCTGTTGCCGAAGTCGTACGATTGTCGTCATTACATCAGGTGTGGATATTGCGGACGTTTGCTGGTCGTATACCGTCAGGTGCGTTGATCGGACCGGTTGTCGACAGCGCACGAACGCGCGGCCCAGCCGAGCGCGATGCAAGGTGGGCACGTCGTCCTCGCCTACCGTTCCATCGAGGCGGACGGCAGTTGCTCCTCGCACACCGTGCGCGCGCCGGACAGTGAACGTGTTTCGGTGCTCCGAGGACGACGTGCGATCGTCACCGGTAGTCGTCGTGAGGGTGCGGTGTGGCGTGCGCACCAATCGTTTCGTCCCGGACGGTTCGACGTCCGTTCTTCGCGATTAGCAATCGTTACCAGACAAGTTTTTATAAAACCAACACGTATCCGTCGTGTAGTAGTGCGACACGCTGTCGCCGAGACTCGGGCGGCGCTGTAGGTCATCCGTCCTTCTTCTCGCCGGCGACACAACGTAACGAGCCGTGCCGCAGCAGCAGACACCGTATCGGATTTCCCGTCACGTCCCCGTCCCCCCGAGGAGATGTCCAGAAAACTCGAGAAATTCGTCATACTCTTCGACAACACCAACCTGTTGTATTTTCCCGGACAGTTCTTGAGCGGCAGAGTGCTGGTGGAGCTCAAGGACGACACGCAAGCCTTGGGTAAATAAATGTCACGCCACAATGGTGCATCCGTATTATTCTCGAACCTAGACGTTCAGAACCGCGTTCGTATTATTATTACTGCCGTCCGCGCAACATCGTCTACTCGCCCGGGTCTGTACGGGAAACGTTTTTACGGGTGTTCGGCCCGTTCCCGCAACAAGTTGTCGGTTTCAAAAACGATATTTACACACGTACCTAGCTGTTGTGCACGTGTTAAACGTCGCACCGCCGTAAACGCAACGCGTTTTCGAATCGTTGAAAAACAAACAAATGAATAAATGTAAATATAGGTATAGAATAACATAACCATAGGCGTTGCTGCAATGTAATTATGTTGTAATCGAGTGAAAGTGTACCTCTACCGCAGTTGCCGTCCGTGTACTGCTCGGTCGTGGCCGGAGAGTAGGCGTGAAAAATAAAATAAATAACTAGCCGTGCACACGACTCGGCAACGTGAAGACGTGCGTCTTTGTTTCCGCCGGTGCCGTACGAGAATGTATAAAGGCGCGTCCGCACCATGCCATGTGGCTTTGCCAAATGGCATTACCAAAAGTGATGTGGGCTTTTTATTGGCACGTGCCATTTGGCAACGTTTTGCCAACTGGCTTGCCAGGCTGATCTCGACAAGTGTCGGTCCGAATCAAAGAAATCCAAGTGGCAATACGTCAAGATGGCATATGTCGGCGTAGTGTGGACACGCCTTAATATATCGCATTGTGTACATTCGTGGAGATTCGGATGAGCCGCGTGTCTTGTTGGTGAGACATCAGTATTTACGACTGTTACAATATACACTCAATAAACACGATATTTTCTTGCTCCGTGTGACCGGAATTGAAATCACACGTATGCTACGTTTGTTGGTACATGATACATGTACATTTTTCTATGGATCGAAGAGACGTCAATGCTCTGCGTTTTCTAATTCTCATGCTTTTACCATTGGCGGTGAAAACGTTCTGGAATTTGCACATCATGAAGTATTACATGCATAATAGCACCGTAACTTGTAATTTATTTTCTCGGAGTTTCAAACTTTTAACGTCTAACGTGCATAATATTACAGAAATTAGTATTAAATTTGTAACCTAATTTCCTGCATAATTTTAAATGTAAACATTCAATTTTCTTTAAATACGATTCTTTGATCACAATATTTTAATTTAAAAACATAATTACATTCTGTACTTTGACCATCGGCCGCAGGCTTCAATAATACACAATACACCTTCTGTCATAGTAATAATACTCGTATTTATCTAGAATCATAATAATTTGACTAGCAATGAGCCATGTCTTCATAATATTACTTCTAGCAGACTTGAATACAAGTTTATAATTAAGAATGAAGCTATCAATATAGATAATCAGCTGGTTAATAACAATGTTTTGACTCGGATAAGAGAAGAGATGAAAGAGAGTCTCTATAGGATAGGCAACCTACGGTTTACTAGGACATATCTTATTCAGTGCCGTAACTACCCTCTGTTGCAAATTTTATTTTGGTGCTTTTTTATTACAAATAAAACAATTTTAATTTAACTTAAATGTGCCCTTTACTTTGCTATGCTCTTGACTATCACCAATTTCGCCAACCTCTGGTTACAGCACTGGCTTCAGCGTCGAGATTTTTTTTGTTTATTTATAAAAATCGTATGTACTACTAAAAAAGGGAATGTTAAAGTTAGTGCGGCTTTTTATATATCAAGTTATTTTAAAGATAAAAATTTATCTTTTCTTTGAAAAGGTTACCGATCTCTGACTAAAAGGAGTATATCACTCGCACATTAAAACATTTATTTTAACAATCTTGTGTTGCTAATTATATTAAATATGAATTATGACACCTCACTAAATAATAGTATTCAATAAACTTCAGAGAAGATAAAAAATATAATTATTTGTACTGTTTATAAATTTCAATTTAAAATGTTACTTTGGTTCGATAAAAAAATGTTTAACCATTTTTTTATTTAAAGATCCTTGTACAATTTTCTTACTCGTGTAGAAAAAATCGAATACTAAAAATTGTAACTTTTTATAAAACCATTTGAATGTTGAGAAAATCCATTAAAAATCACAAAAATCTTCATCATCGTTGTGGAGTAAAATATGTACAACTTTTAATATGAATATTCAAAGCTTGAAAATTAAATACAATATTTTTCACAAATAATTTGTATTCAACAAAAAACAAAAATTATTAGGAATTAGCAAAAGAACAAAAGTTACAAAAACGTAAGAAAATCAAATTTTAGCGAAGTCTTTGGTGAACATTGCTCCCATATATGTCCTCTTTTATGTATCCACGCCTCACTTCCAATTTTTACTAATCCGTGCTATTGATTTGTTTTGCACCCATGGAAAATAACGGTTGGCTTGAAATAATAAAAATATGATTTAATCAAACCCTGATGATGTATAAATACGTTTAATGGCTTATATTAATATATCTACCAATACCTTGTCGTGTACAATATTTTATGAAAGAATCAAATAAATTTAAATATTTCCAAATATTCCGTGTATAATTGGTACACAAATATGTGAGTGTGTGTGTGCATAAGTATTTTTCATTAAATCTCACATTTGTGTTTTACCATTTTATTCCGTTAAATGTATTTATTGTGTAACTCTGAACTCAAATAATAAGGTGTGGTTATAGAAATCGTACTTACATTCGTACTTACTTTGTCGTCTGCCTTTCCTTCGACCTTCGTAATTTGATGACCACAAATCACCCGATATATAATGCAAATACTTTAATCCCTATGGTATTATTAATATTTTTAATTATTGTATGACAATATTATTTTTAGCTCTATAATCTAACCTTGTATATGTTTAATTACTTTAACCACAAAATAACTAATTTATATTGATATGTCCGTTTCAAAAATGACAATAATTTTTATTATTATTTAATATTATTTATTTTTATTCGTAATTTTAAAAAAATAATTACAATAAAAAGAAATAATAAAATCTCCTAAAGGTATACTTATAATGAAGGTCGAGTAGACTCTGAAAATAAGTCTTCTAAATCAACACAATTGAATCCATAAGTAAAATTATATGGTTTACAGTTGGACTACAAACTTTGACTGGCAATTATTGACATAGGTAGGTACTCGTAATCAATGGTAGTTTTACAGGGGGGGTCTAGAAGTTCTGGACCCACCAGGTCACACGTGTATGTCCGTATGTTTGAATGTTTGTTACAGTAGTACTTATTTAGGTATTTATATTTTCCTTGAAATTACAGCGTTTTATAATACTCATATATAAGATAATATAAAATGACCCCTCCCAGAAAATAATTAAAAAAACAGCCATCGCTCATAATAATATCCCGTATTGATCTATTTCGGTATTCTCGTAATATTATTAAATCACACTATTCATTGCTTTTTGTAGAAAGTGTCAAAATTAGTCTAGAAATACAGTAAAATTGTTTAAAAAGTATATGGAATCAAATACTTGAACTAATTTCTATGCTCATTTCAATAATCATCAGTAGCGAGGCTTGAGGTTTTTATTAATTAGTCGGGTAAAAAAAGGAAAAATTGCGTAATCGTGTTGCACCGTTATAAAACTTATTGGATGTGACTGAAATTAAAAGATACTTTCAGATATAGTTGTAGGGACGGAACTAGAGGACGGAAGACGGTGATTCATCCCCGGACGTAAAATGTTAGGGGGTATAATTTTTGTAATTATTAACAACTGATTTGATATTTTTAACTATGTTAAATACTGATATTAGGTTTAACGTATATAAGATTAATTAATTCTATGAGTTTAATACAAAACATTTTTATAGTTAATATTATTTATATAGACAAGCATACAGTTCAATAAATTTACCATGGTAAAACTTCTATATTGACACAAAGTTAATAAAGATCCGAAGTTAATAATATCATTATTTCACAAGTTTTGATACATTTTGATTTTTTTACTGGTTCTATGTGCTATGTACCTACAGTATTATTATTTTTTTCCAATTATAATTTATCGCACCAATTAATTATACGTTAAAAACATATAAGATATAGTTTGAAATCATAATTTTGATTTACTATTATTCAAAGTAAACAAAGATTGCGATTTTTTTTTCGATGAAAATGTCTTATTTTGTATGTTTATGCTCATTGATCAAATTATTTTAGTATTACAGTTACGTATTATAACAGTGATGTTATTGTATTAATATTTGCTGTTGAAGTTTTGATCACGAGATAAATAATTTAAATATAAGTATATTATATTGCAATAGTTGTGATTTTTAACTTTTAAAAGCTATAAATCTTTCATTATTGGATATTAATTTTGAATATCAGAACGTAGAATCATGTAATGTAATGATTATTTTCTTTGGATGGTTCTAGGTTTACATTTTCACGTGATCGGTGAAGGCGTAGTGCGACTGAAAAGTAAACGGCGCGAGAGGGTTTACGACAAGGAAAACTATATAGATTTTCGGATGAGACTGCTCGGAGAACCAGGTCTGTACAATATATAATATTATAATGTGTGTACCATTAATCTAGACAGTATATTTACGAGTTAAAAATATACAGATAAGTTAAAAATTCAAACAACTTTTAACCAAGTAACAAACAAGTTTTTTTTTACTAAAGTAACATTTAAATGTCGAACTAAACTAATTAAATTATTTTCCATGTCATGATTAATTCATTTTACAAACATGTTAAGTTATTTTTTTTAAATTTAAATTCCTATAATTAAAAATACTAATACATATATATAAATATATATATATATATTGTAAACATTGTTTTTTTCAATACAAATAATGGGAATTACAATTGTGGGAGTGTTGAATGTTCTATTCTGGATTTCAATAGGAATAAAATTAACGAACACAATATCAAGATATGTAGCTCTCTCTATAAATTAATATTATAAGTTATTAAATTAAAAAAAAATAAGAAAAAATAAGCGACTTATTTTAGATTTGTAACTTTTACAAGTTAATTAAGAATGAAGTAATCTTTAACTTTAAAACTTCAATTTATTTAATTTACATTTTCCTGAGTTAACTTTACTCGAAGTGTTACAAGACCGAGTAAGATTAGTCAGCCTTTCCCAATATATTATACAGCCGTGAAGTACAATATTTTCTAACGATTTCATTATTGTACGGTATGTTTGTGCAGGACAACCCCCGGTCACGTTGTCGCCGGGGATCCACAGTTTTCCGTTCAAGCTCGGCCTACCACCGGGATTGCCGTCCACGTTCCTAGGAAAGTCCGGCTGGGTGCAGTACTACTGCAAGGCAGCGCTACGGGAGCCCAACTCGCTCACGCACAAGAACCAACAGGTGTTCATCGTCATGAATCCGATCGATCTCAACATGGAGCCGTCCGTCTTAACTGTAGTAAAACGCTTTTTGTTTTGGTCCGGACACGATTTGCATTAACATCGCGTATGTTGCGTTACAGGAACCATTTCGCTGTGATATCGATCACAAGCTGTCGAGAGCCATGTGCCTGGGCTCCGGTATGGTCGAGTGTCAGGTATGTCTGGACAAGGGAGCTTACGTGCCCGGCGAAACAATCGAGATCACGGCGACGATCATCAACAACAGCAAAGTGACTATTAAATCGACCAGGGCCACGCTGACCGAGGTAAGAAATCGTCCCAAACGACATATGAAGTAGCAACGAAGGCGTTCGAATTTTGGGGTTCGGGTGTTTTGTGTATTTTTTCCGTTCCGACTGCATAACGATTGTACATTAATCTGTTGCGTTCAGACCATCCAGTATTTCGCCAAGAGCAAGATAATTCAATCCGAAACCAGGGAGTTGGCTTCGTTGAAAAGAGACAAGATCAGGCCCAATGAGATGGACCAATGGCACAACGAACAGCTCTACGTCCCACCGTTGCCACCTACTAACCTTCGTGGGTGTCATCTAATAAACATCCAATATGATATTTACGTAAGTCTAAACAATTATTTATTCAAGGTTGCGATTTTTTTTTTTATACAATCAGTGAAAGTATAAGTTACGTACCCATTTACAATAATGTCAATGTTAATGAGTATTCATAACTAAATATCTACAGTGATCCACAGTCACGTTTGGTTGATTAGTTTCCCCTAAATTTTTTGGAAATGGGTGTATAAATGTTGTCTGATGGGTAATTCATAGTTGATCAGTGATATCTATGAAACTTATAGTAAGGGTATTGTTTATTTTGGTTTAGTAGTGACTATTTGCAACTGTTCGTTTAACATTTCTTAATTAAGTTAAAATATAATGGTTTGTACCACTGTACTTATGAGGATAATATCTACATAATAGTAGTATTCAATAATTAACTAACTAGGTACCATATATCACATATGTTGAAAATTATAGATATTATCATTAAAAAGCAAAAATAAATTATGGAGAAAAAAACTCTACTTATAATAAAATAATTCTGATTACTCGTTGATCTGTTGTTTACCCAAAATACTTTTATATCTATATTATACATTTATTTTGATAATGTCTAAATTCAGTACAGTTAATTTTTTCAATTTATTATATTAGAAATAATTATTTTGATTTATTTATTTTCAGTTCATTATATCACCAAATAACATGGAAAAGGATGTTAAATTACAACTTCCTATTATGATGGGTACTTACCCATTTAGAACAGAAAATGGATCATTTGATGGAAAACTCGGTACTCACTATCCATCAACATTGCCAATACTAAGACCCTGGTTGGAAGAAAAGACTTTTAAATGATTGAATTAATCGTTTATAAATCTATATTTATTATAGTAGACTAACCAATTTTATTTATATATATATATATATATATATTATAATAATTAATATTTAATGCATGTATATTTTTAAATAAATATCTATACATACATTACTTCAATTATTTTAAAACAAACTTTTTTTATCTTAGAAAGTTGATATCACAACAGTAATGAAGTTAAAAAATATTGTAAATTAATGCGTTAATACCTAACAAATAAAATATATTTTGTTTTTTCACACTGTAAGACCTGTGTTTTTAATAATAAAATTTGGTTGTCTTATATCAATAAAAAACAGCTAAATTTAAATGTTTTAATGTCTAGATAACGAACATTCTAAGTAATAGATCTCTCAATTTCACATGCACATGCTTCCACTTTAAATAAACATTTGATTCTATTACAGTATAATATAAATTATTCATATGAATATGTATATTCTTGTAGTCTAGCGTTTTAATTTATATGAATAACACTAAAACTCATGTATTTGAATAATAAATTTATAGATACACACTTTTTATTCAAATATACATAGATCACGTTTTTATAATAATGAACTAAAAATACCTACTTGTGATGTTTTGGTCTTTTATAAGGACTTTCTCCACACCCATCAGCTAAAGCAGCAATCATCAACCAGTGGTCCGCGATAAAATGTTAGTGGTCTATGAGAAAATGTTAGATGTTGCAAACAATTTTGTGCCACTGGGCTAAAGGAAATATTTAGCCGATGACCTGTTAGTTAAGCTGTCTTGTTTCAATGAAAGAACTCACAGGCTTTACCATATAGAATGGGTATATTCATAATATTATATTAATAATAAAAAAGGTTGGATGACTGATGATAATTAACAATTGTTGCTGGGGGTTGACTACTAAAGTGGCTCAACCAGGGCCGTGTTCACAGGTTGATTTAATATTGTTGATAAATATGTTTGTACTTCTCTAACATCCTTGTTGGATTGGAAAGGTATTAAATAAAATATATACTTAGTGTTTAGTTAGTAAACAAATTATGTTAAATATATTTAAACAAAATATCATTTAAAAAAAAAAAAAAAAAACAACTGAACAATATAATATTGAGTTGAAGGACCTATAACATTGCTACTCTCATATCGCAGTGTAAACCACTAATGTACAACAGCAGCCGCCATTGTGTATCGGCAGTAAGGTATCTCACCACAGTTGAATGTGTGATGACTGATATAGAGGTAAAACCAGAATTGTTTATAGCATTAATAGGTGACCTAAAATTCCACAATGTTTCATACTATTAAATCATATTTTTAATTAAGACCTTTACTAAATACCTTTGCTAGGTTTGTCTGTTTTGACAAATTTAATGTTGAAATTTTCAAGGAATCAACATCATATTAACCTAAAGAGTATATCCTAGCTCAATGATTATTAGTGATGACAGTTTAAAGCACTGCAATAATTATATTTATGAAACAAATATATTAATTAAAGGTAGTATTGTATAATAAAATAATTTTTAATTAATTTTGTTGTGTTCGGACAATTAATCATTTCAAAGAAGGAAAAATTGATTTTGAAAATTAACACGTGAATATCATCTTCTTAAAAATAAAATTTATTTTTTAAGATACAAGTAACATTATACAGAAAATCTATAATCAAACAGTTATGGTATTTTTTATCATACAAAGAGACAAATGTCAAATAATCTGGCATGTACTCAGTTGTCATACCTAAGTTCTACAAGCCCTTGAAATTTATTTATAGAATGCCATCCTGTACAACAGAGACTACTAGGAATCATTCGGTCACTGAACATTATTCCATTCAAATGATCCATTTCATGCTGTATTATTCGAGATGTCCATCCTTTGGCATCCAACGTTTTTTTTTCTCCATTTTCGTTTACTCCTAAATCAAATTTAAACAATTAAACATAAAAATTAAACTTTAACCAGTATAATTTCATATTACCTGTTAAAAGCACTCGTTTGAATCTAGGAACTTCAGCAGAGTAACCCTTAAAACTTGCACAAGCCTCACTAAACGTAATACATGTATGGTCAGTTACTGTTAGTTTAGGATTTATCCAAACCTACAGTATCAAATCACTAATAACTATACTATTTTATAAGCATAATATTAATTTTTGCTTACCTGATTTTCAATATATTCCATTTCTTTCTTAGCTATTTCTTCTTTACTGAAAAACTTGGAAGGATGAGGAAAATGAACAACGAATATTTGAAATGGTACACCAATTTGTGGTGCAGATAAGCCAATAAGATTTGACATTTGTATCCGTGATCTCATTAAATGAATAACCTAAACAAAAGAAATTGTATTCAATTCAATACAAGGAACCAAATATCAAAACAAAATTTTAATCAAAAAATGCTTACCCAAAATTCTTACATTTTGTACTTCTTCAGATTTTATGACGTCAACTGGAATAGGTGATGATTTATTTCGTAATATTGGATCGCCAATTTGAACCACATGATTCTTATATGGAGGTATGGGATTTTTTGTAAGGAACATTCGATTGATAGTCCGTTTTAAAAATCGCCAAGCCATTACAACTGAAATATAATATTAATTTGACAGCCAATCATGGTTTTATCATAGTTACAATCGGATGTCGATACAAGAAGGAATAAATGGCATACATTCGCACTATACGTTGCTCACGTAATACCGCTACTGAATTCACGTTTATTTAATTTTTTTGTTTATTAGAATTAAAATGTTTCAGAATATTATATGCTTTTACAAGTTTGATTACGTACTAATTATAAATTACAATTGTTATTATTAATCTTTAGTTTAAGATATTTTGATAATGATACATTCGTCTTAATATTAGTTTATAGGTAATTTAAGTTGGTCTTCATTCACGTTAAAATTATTGGTTTTAATTGAGATAAACTGTTTTGAACAAGAATATTTTTTCTTACCTCTACAGCAAAAACTCGACCACGAACAAAGTACACGATGAATTTCAGAACTTCCAAACTAAATGAATACAAATAATTTTGAAAAATAACTATAACTATAGTTGGTTTTAATTTGGTGAAAAACTAGTTCGAATGGCGGCTTATGTTCACATAAATGTCAATGATATAGAATCTCAAAATTCCTTAATGATAAGAAAAATACTGATGGCATGATGGCACCAGAATATTATGACAATTTGTCGCTCAAATAATAACACTCAAATTCAAAAAAATGTACCATTATTGCGGAATATAATAGATTTTTTTAAAATTATGTTATAAGTCAAAATTGATAAATTAATAAAATGTAGGTATAGTATTCATTACAGCGACGAATGTAATTAGTGAGATAAAATCGGACAAGTCTTAAGTTTAAGCATAAAGGTCAACAAGAAACGATAAGAAGTGAATTAGTGTGAAATCCGTAACAATGACTAATAATATGGGAAAATGGGCTAAAAATGACTTAAAAAAAGTAATAAACACCAAAAATGCAAAATAAAAATAAGTTATTTGAATTCACATACTAATGAATCACATTTGTGATCAAAAGATCATCATCTAAAAAGTTCGAAAAAGAAAATGCATAAACTGCCAAGCTCTAGTTATAACTAGGGAACGGATTTGTATGTAAATGCATATTTTTATTAAAACGAGATATTTAAGATTCGATAAGAAATTTTTGATATAAATCACTCCTATTAAAATGATGATACTTTTATTTTACATAATTTTACATATTTTGGCATAGTTACATATTTCATTAATTTATAAATATTTTTATCATTTCATCATTCTTCGTATGAAAATACAATTATTTCAAAATTAGTTACAGAAACTTCTATCGTTATTGGAAAAGCTCAAAATATTATGCAAAATGAGACATTGAAAATAATTTAATTTTAATTAAAAATAATTTAACAAAATTATTAATAAAAAATATGTCCCCAAATGATAGTATGCAAATTGTTGAATCAGCGATTAAAACACGTAAACAGACCAATAGATGTTGTAAAAAAGAAAATTCATGCTGTTACAGACAAAAATTCCAGGATATATTGATTTTAAAACAATCAATAACACAATGAGTGGAAGACGTCCTTTTAAAAATTTGGAATTATGGCCTTCTGATAGTATGCACTTGAAATTTGCTTTTAATACATTGGTTGATGTGAAACGATAATTTAGCAATTTTAAAAGTATTTTGATACCTAATAGGCGACATTTAACATTTCATAATTTAAAAGATATTGTAATAATTCAATGCAACAAATCATTTTAATAATAATAATCATTTTTTTTCCCCTCATATTTGGATGTTTTTAGCACATATTTTATAAATTATACTTACATATATGTGTACATATTTCTGTTTTTTTATTTCACATAAATCCGTTTCTTAGTTATAACATTTCAAATTAAATAAAATTGAAATGGTACATACTAACCCTAACATACTAAATCTTAAAATTATTGTATACCTCATTAAATGGTAATTTAGTGTTGAAAGGGTAGATGATTTTATGCTTAAATTATTATCAGTGGATGGCCAGTACTTCCAACAATTTTATTAGTAATAATCACTGAAAACTGGATAATAAGAGTGAGGAAATCTAGTGAAAATAATGGAAAAAATATTTGAAGATATTAACTTTAATACAATACAATATTACCTAAAAAGTTACAAATTCAATTTATATTAATCTAAAAAATAAATGGTAATTCCACACTAATATTTTGTGTCCAAATATTTATACTATAAAATTTATAGCACTACAATATTATTGATTTATAAATATACACATAAATAATAAATTAGCCATATATAATATATATGGCTAATATATATATATACATATTTCCATTATATCTGAAATGTATAACACATTTATTAAAAGTGAAGAACTTTACTATCATAATTCATCATGATAAAATTGTTGGTGAACAATAAATTTAAATTACCTATAAGGACCTTTTTATCTCACTATAGTTAAGTACTTTAAATATTCATAGACCAGACCTTACTTCTGAAGAATAAGGAAATCTTGGAACTGAAATGGAAAAAAGTATTAATCATATAATAATTTAAGAAAGAAGGAGTTCATTATATCATAAAAATATAACTAATTAGTAAATTTAAATTTTTTTTTATTATCAATTTGTATTATAAACTAAACAATACAAGTATTTTTCCCGATAAAATACTTTACATGTTTACCTAATAGAAAAAATAATTTTTACTTATCAGTTACAAAAAAAAAAAAAATCTATATATATATATATATATCTTTATTTATGTTTTAATAATTATTATCATTATCATATTATAAGAAATAAGTGCGAGATCCATTTGAATGAACAAGCTACAGTGTAAAGTGAACTGTTCCATTTTTCTTGCTCATACAACTCGCTTTAAATTAACTTATACATTAGTATTTTGGAAGTGGCGTAACCAAAATGTTCATTCTTATAAAATTTGGTGACTTTTGAATTATATATGTCATCAAATTCAGTCATATTAACCAGAATGATAAGCTCTAATAATAAGTAGTGTTAAGCCACTAAATGAAATTTAATTTGAATTTGAAAAAAAAATAAATATTTGTTCACATAAATAAATCATTTTAAAATAATAATTAAACTGAAATATGTCACAAATTTAAGAATTTGTAACAATGAAAGTAAGAAAATGTTTTAAGCCAGTTTTTAATATGATTTTGAGCCAATATCCAACATTTTTCAGTTACGCAATATAAAAATTAATAAAACAAAACAAAACAATCTTAGCTTAATGATTACTTAAATTAATTATTACTCTTTTACTATTATCATGAAATTCATATATTTTAAATTAATTTAATAATATTGAGTTTACAAAAATGTATAATACATAAAAAACATTGTTAGTCAGTCGATTGTTGACTTAAGGCTGAATAATTATTTTATCTATTAAGTGCGTCTAAAATTTTGTTGTAAATTCAAAACCATCGCTTGTAATTGCTGAAGAGTTAAGACAGATCTAAAATTATAAAAAAACAAATTATTAAATAAAACACTACACTATCTTCTATAAATATTAAAACATTCAATAAACATACTAAAATAATTAAAGCTAAACACAAAAGGAATTTTAAAAAGGTTTTAAAAATATCTGAAAAGGAAAAATTAATAGTATATGAAGTAAAATATATTTTAATTAGACTTTAAATTTTTAACTGGCAATATAGAAGAAAATCAAATAGAATTAAATAAAATGTATACCAATAAGATTTTTAACAGTATAGATAATAAATTTTAATAAGTAAAATGGCTAGAACAAAGACAATATACAGCACTAATTTAAACATCAAAAGATATTTTCAAAAAAAGTTTATAAATTATAATCAATAATTATATCTTTAACTTACAGCTTGGATCCTCGGCTGCTTCAAAACGTCTGTGCAACTGATCATTCGAAAACTTAACAAAAGCTTCATACTGTTCAGATAATTTCATGTTTAAGATCTTATCATATTCTTCACGTAATTGACTTTCGCGTTCATTTAACATACGTTCACAAATCATTCCTACCTAAAAATAAAATTATTCTGTTTTAACTGTAAAATAATTTTCTGAAAAATAATAATTTTAGCATTTAATAAAAAAAATATTTAATTTGAATTAAAAGAAGCTACTAAAGATTATTATAATAGAAACAATTACACCGAACCAATTTAATAAATATACCTAAAATATAAGATACCTAAATAAGATTAAATATTATTTCTGTTTAAAACAAGTTTAAACAAGTCATATCTTATAAAGGAAAAATAATATATTCATTTTGATTATTATAATAATATTACATTTAAGTTGAATATGATTATCTAAAATTAAAAAAGAATCAGGTAGATTACATTCACTATTAAAGGATATTTTATAAATACAATTTAATTTTAGTGAATAAATATTAACTAGAAACCATTATAATAGTACAAACTCATAATGATTGGTTGATGATTCAATTAAATAAACTACAAATTAATTATTATATATTAATTATATATATGTATTATTAGATTAATATATTTACTTGACGAAAAGTGAAGAGCGGTTTATCTTTGGCTGAGGATGGAAATGTGTTCTCAGATGAACTGTCTGAAGAACTGTCATCCAAATTACGATTTTCAGATAATTCCATATTAAGCTGACGTTTGCGACGCATCCTTTGAACTTCTTCAGTTAAACTAGCAGACAACATTTCTAATAAAAAAAAATAAACAAAAAAATGTATCAAACAATTTAAGTTAAATTACCTAATTCATATATGTATTTAAATATTTAATAATGAAAATAATATACATTTATAATTTTTGAAGTTTAGAAACTACTATAATTTTTAATAATGAATACTAACAAATAACATATATAAGTACTAAGTCACAATAAGTATGAACTTATATAAATCATTTATTATATAATTTATAATATATATATATAATGTAACTTCCAGTTAAATAGTATATATGAAATAAAGTTTTGGCCTAAACACTATTTTGAAAATAACTACTAAATGTATAAAATATTATGTAAATTTAAGTATCCAATATAAATTTATTATATTACTAAACTTTACTATACTATAGGTAAAACTGTCGTTCTTAAGATTAGCTGTAACTTGCAATCAATAATATTACGGCAGCTCTACCAATAAAATTTTTTTATACAATTACAGTAATGATAATAAATTATGAAATTGTTTTAAATGATTACTTAACCCCATAAATAACAATAGCATATGAAATGTAACATAATTCTTCACTTAGATATATTAAACAATTGTTTAGGTTAGATTAAATGTCATCATTTAATAATAAACTTAAATCTGCAATACTCTTATACTATAACATTAAAATTATAAAAAAAAAATTATTATTCTAACATACATTCCTGAAAATATTAATAACAAACATATTCAAAATATAAAAATAACATTTATATCATATCAAATACTGCAATTACATTAAGAACTTAAAATTATATTTCATATTGTTAAATTTAAAAGAATTAAGTTTAAAACAAATGTAATAATACAAAATATTCCAGATAAACAAATGAATAGGGTTCATTTTAATAAATTAAATTTAAGTGAAACCAATTAGGTCATAATCATAAAACTTTTATCGATTGATATTATATAAATTAGTAAGCATTTAAATTTAAATTACTATGTTTTGAACCAACTATTATGTTTATTAGAAAAACTAAACATTGATAGAATTAGTTAGAATACAATGATCATAGTAAAATGTAATGGTATTTATGTATCAATCAAATTTAAACATCATGAACAGTGATCACAATAACTAATAATCGGCAAGTGGTAAAATCAAAAAAAGGATAAATTTTACTTGGAATCTATCAAAATTAGTGACTGCATAAATTTGATACTAATATGCATTCCCAAATAAACTTAATTGTATCTATTCAAGATCAGATTAAAACAATTTTAAGTGCCGAGATAATAACCAGTTACTAAAAACCATTATTATACAACAGTATACCCACCAACACATTTAACATACTACACTTATTCCTATTGAAATATGATACTGGCCAATACATTTGTTGGCAAGTAAAATAACTACCAGTTTATTGATTCACAAGTTAATGTGTAACTAAAATCGATCAATTGACATCGAGCAGTTCCAAGCAAGTATCTGTCAATGTCGGTAGGACTTTTAATTATTAAACACTATGTAAACATATTAGTCCAATTTACGTAAAATATTATGGTAAACGACTATTCGATTTACCTGCTGTGATTTTTGGCACTACATCACCACCAAAATGGGGTGAAACATATTCAGATCTGGAGCTGTTTGGTGGAGAGCTAGAAGGCGATATGCTCATAGGCGTGCACCTTTGTCTTTTCGTTGGTCTGCACATAGGGGGTTCGAAATCCAGTGACCGTTTTAACGTAGCGCAAGCCATATTCCGCGTTGATGTACAAATAATAGTATAAAAACTAGATCAATTGATGGTAAAATGGTATTAAATTGGTATTAGAAGTATTAAAAAAAAAAAAAAACAAAGCTTTTAGTTCAAACACTGAGTGGTTTTCGTAACAACAAAATGGCTTCTCTTGAATCACAGAAACAGAGAACGCACGTCACAGATAGGACCGGACGGCGAGCCACGAAAACGAAAACAGAAATGACGGTCGAAACTGCACGAATATCCATTTAAATAACTACGTAAAGAACAGTGTGACCAACAGCAATCATTGCATCGTGGATCGTTATACAACGTAATGCGTTGTAAACAATGATCCTCTTATCCGGCTGACGATTAGCTTACGGCGCGATCATCTAGGTGCATTGAAGCCATAAATGCAATAGAAGATGCAATATCTCATGGAAGAACAACATTCACTAGATTGTGTTCTAAGGATTTTTAACGACATGCTATCAATTTTCTTCTTTCCATTTTGTATGCTCGTTGATAAGAAGAATCATTCAAGATAAGAACAAGCCATTTGGAGACATAGGACGTCACCATCGGCGGCATTGTAGCATCAATGCATACCACCTTTACACCTGATGGATGGTTATTTATTTTATCGCAGAAGAGTTTATGTGACGTGTTAAGAAATATAGCGGTATCGGTCATTCCTTGTCGTACTATGGAATATTATTTTTTTTTTTAAATATTTAAAAGTATGTAAATTAACTGAGTCATGTTCATAAAGTAAATATTTTTATAATTTTATTAACTCGAAATAATGGCCGGCCAAAAGTTTCAATACGACGAAAGTGGAGCTACATTTTTTTATTTTATATTGTCATTTTTAGCTCTCTTATTAATTCCTGGCACTTATTACTGGTGGCCCAGAAAACAAAAAGAGGGTATGAATTAATATTTTCTTTTTGTAACTTTTATTGGCTAGTCAAAAATCTATTCTTATATATTTTTTAAACTTTAGATCCAAAAGCATTAGCCTCAGAATGTTATTGTCCGGGTTGTCGAAAAAAAAAACTTATTCTGCAATCTACAAAACCATGGGAATTAATGAAAAGGACATTAATGTGAGTATATTTAGTTTAATATTAAGTTACAGATTGAATGTTTTAGTATTTATAGTATTACACATTTCCACATTTTAGTATTTATTTAGTTAATAATTAGATTATAAATATAATAATTTACTATTATATGAAATAATGTTATGTCTATTTCAGAAAAGGCGTCATTATTGCTGGATGGGTATTATTAGCTTTCCTTGCTTATAAAGTGTCTCAGTTTGATTATGAAAGTGCAAGTTTTGATCCATATGATATTCTTAATGTTGCAATTGTAAGTATAGCTAATATAATTTATTTTACTTTTTTCTAAATCATTTAAAATTTGTTAGGGAGCAAATGAAAAAGTAATTAAAAAAGCATATCGTAAATTATCATTAATTTATCATCCAGACAAGGAAACTGGAGATGAAAAAAAATTCATGAAACTTACAAAAGGTAACATTCCTTTATACTTTATTAGTTTAATATCCAATATATATGATTCTTAATTCAAATCTAAGAGGTTACACAAAAATAAGAATTCAGTAGTTCTTAATAATTATGTACAGTTCAATAAGTAACTTTTAATAAAAAAAAAACAATTTCAGCTTATCAAGCATTAACTGATGATGAATCAAGAAGAAACTGGGAAAAATATGGAAATCCTGATGGACCTGGTGCAATGAGTTTTGGAATTGCTTTACCATCATGGATTGTAGAAAAAGAAAATTCAGTTTGGGTAAAATATGTTTATTTTATAATTGTTGATATCAAAAAAGTTTTCTTGCTATACTGTGTGTTCTACAACAGGATGGCCCTTGAAGTTTTTTTTTTATAGAATTTTATACGAAAAAAAGTCATAATAATATAATAACAAAATTTTTTAATGATTTTATACTTTCTATGTTTTTTACTGTAAAACGTAATTATATGTGCAACAAGTAATATCCAAAACTATGATTAAATTCAGCTCATTATGTATTTGTATAAATAAGGCCATAACTGGAAAAAATTTCGAGTGGGGGGTCTAACATTATTATTTAATACAATTTATAGTTAATAAACTATATTCACCACTAAAATGTTTCTACTTTTGAAAATTTCGGGTGGGTCCGGACCCCTGGACCACCCAGTTACGGCCTTTTGTATAGGTATCGTGCAGCTACAGCAAAACTGATTTCTTGTGGTAGGAGATTTTGGAAACCATTATTATCATTATTAGGCAGCAATTATTGACTGCAGGTTTTATGAAAGTGTAAATTGGTCCATCAACTACAAATGTTCGGCCCAACCTATTTTACAATATATTTTTCCTATGTTTTTTTTCTTACTGTAGTTTAAAACTAAATATCTAACCAAAAAAATTATTTTTATTTAATTTTAATTTTACGAGATACAAATGTTTTTAATTAAATGTTATATTTATTACTTAAGTCAAGAATGAGGATAAATTTTTATTCTGATAAATCTATTCAGCAAATATCATAGTATGCCTTAACATTATTTAATACAAAATTATACCTAATATAAATTATAAAATCTAATTTAAATTAGTTTGAAATAAATTAAATTCAAATTATCATTATTAATATATATTAATATTTTATTTTAGGTCTTGGGTCTTTATGCTTTAGTATTTATGATTGCTCTTCCTACAACAGTTGGTATGTGGTGGTATAAATCTATCAGATATTCTGGAGATAAAGTATGAAATTCAGCACTTATAATATAAATATTCATTATTATTTTATTTAAAATATTTTCTCTTCACAGGTTTTGTTAGAGACATCTCGTATGTATTATTATTTTTTACATAAATCAAATTCAATACCACTTAAACGAGTAATAATGATTTTAAGTGCCTCATTGGAGTTTGAAAAAAAATACAATAGTGAAATTGTTGAAAGATCTTCAGATGAATATGAAATGCCCCAGGTAAAAATATCAAATTAGAATTTATATTCCTCTTAATTAATTTAATATTTATTTATTGAACTATATGTATTTTCTACATTTTAAATGATAATTACAATTTATCTTTTTTAGCTTATTAAGCAACTTTACAATTTTGCAGAAAAAGCACAAAAAGAACCACCTTTGTCTTATAATTATTCTATAAAAGCTAGAGCTTTAATACATGCACATTTATCTCGTTTAACACTGAAAGCAGATACATTAGATTTAGATCGTATGTATATCGTGAAAAAATGTCCATATTTAATACAAGAAATGGTTGGTGTTGTTTCTCAATTAATTTTGTTAGCATACGCTCAAAGAGGTTTGTTTAATAAATAATATGGAAGTACATATATAATAGTTTGTAGATTAAAAATGTTTTATTTTTTTGTCAGTGCCTCGTTTACTTAATATTGAAACAATAGAAAACTGTATGAAGCTTTGTCCCATGATAGTTCAAGCATTATGGGAGTATAAAAGTCCTTTTATGCAGCTACCATACATAACAGATGATCATCTGAAACATTTTGATAATAAAAAGGTTAATATAGAATATTACATACTTAATTGTACTGTTGTTTTTTTATATTTATTTGTGTGTGTATATATTATAGAAACGTGTTAGAAGTATTCAGCATCTTGCTCAGTTGAAAAATGATGAAAGACGAAGTACTTTAAAATTTTTGTCTGATAGTCAGTATGAAGATTTAGTTAAAGTATTAGGTAGAATGCCCTATTTAGATTTTAAAGTTCGTTGTGAAGGTATGTTGAAAATAATTTATATGTTTATTAGAATTTAATATAAATATTTAAACACTATTTTTAGTTATTGATGATGAAGCTACTACAGTTTATACTGCTGGAGCTATTGTAACTGTAACTGTACAATTGAAGAGAAGAGATATGAAAGTATTGTTTGGAGATGAATCATATGCAGATAAACATATTGAATTAGAAAAAAATACCACTAAAGAAACAGATAAAATAGAAAAACAAGATAAACCTATATCAAATGGGAATGTAGTAGAAAATAATGTTGATTCTGAAAATAAAGAAGGAAAAAATAATGAAAAAGAAAAAAAAATAACCAAAGGTATTTGGCAACAAAAGCGTCAATCAGGTAAAGGTAAAAAGAGTGGAAATATCAAAAAACCAAAAACTACTTTATCTGCATCAGCCAAGAAAAAAATCAAAAAGAAAGAAAAATTAGAAAAAGCCAAAGTATGTATTAATTTATAAATTGCTATTACATTTAACAGTGGTGATTATAATATAATTAGGGCCTAGATTTCAATGCAAAGTGCATATTTTTTTGGTTGATCATGCACAATGTTCTCTAAGAACATAATTCGTTTTATGTAACGAGGGCTTCAAAACTATAAATTTAATTTTGCATTTTTTTGCATATTTTGACGTTTTTTTTTGTATGGTTTTAAGTGCATTTAAATCTGGGCCCTAATTATAATATTATTGTCTGTTTAGGGTAAATTGTATTATTCAACACTTATATTTCCCCTTTATATCCATTCTTGAATTATCTCTATTTATTAATCTTCTATTTTCTTTTTATTTGAATTATTCATGCCTATCGTTAATCAGTAAATTTTAATATTAAAATTTAATTAGTCAAGTATAAAGTTAAAGACATATTTATATTTTATAACATACTTTTTTTTTTAGTTTTTTTGATTAAAAAAATTTCACATCAACAACTCCTCACTATATAAAGTCATTATTTTATATTTTATTTTTTCATAAGCTGGAAGAGCCTGATACCAAAGAAAACGAAGATGATAAAAGTAAAGAGAAAGAACTACTCAAAGAAGAAAAAGATGGTAGTTTATCATCTGAAGATGATTCAGATTCTGATAACGATAGTTCTAGTGATGCTTCTCCTGATGAGTCAGATAAATCAGATGCTGAAGAAACAACAGATAATAAAAAAAAGGTATTTATATTATAAATTTAGGTATTGAGTACCATAGATAATTTATTAACATTTAAATAATTTATTGTTATTTGTTTAAATAATATCTTTAATTTTTTTTTTTTTTTACTTAGAAATTATTATAGTTACAATTATAAATTGTAACATAACATTTATACCTCAATGAATGCGTTAGAACATTTATGAAACTATCATAACATAAAACATCTTATTAAAATTTATTTTTTCTTTTGAATGAATTATCATGGTCATAGTATAAATTAAGTTTTGACAATTATTTACCTACATGTTATTCAATATAAATAAACAAACATGAAATATTATGTTCCATATTTAATTGGCAACCATTGTGAACATTTTTATATAGCTCATTCTTTATCTAGATAAATCATAATAAACCAGATATCATTAAATTGTATATAGGTGATCATTTTTTATACAAAATTTATATGGTTGTATATATACATATTTCTTACGTAAAGAAATGTAATTTATTAATATAATATCCGTTAGTTTTTAAAACAAAAAATTATTAAATGTTCATGTATATTGCTCAGATTCTTGAGTTTCTTCCATAGTAATTTTTATTTTTCAATGATATATTACCAAGATAAAAATTTAAAAATCCAAATTAAAAATATGAATTGTTATAATTATCAATTATTATATCCTAGTAAGACAAGTTTTTTATAGATTTGTTTGAAATTGTTTCCTCCTCATGTGTATAAAACCTGTCAATTGTCTATAACAGTGTTTCTCAACCGGTGTGTTGCCGGGTAAGTCAAATGTGTCGCGTGAAGTACTAATATTTAATGACACAAAATGTACAAACATTATTGACACTGATTACAAAAATTAAAAGATATTAGATATAATTTCTTTGATGAATAAAAATAGATCATCAGCTATTGACATTAAATCAATTTTATCATTATCGTAACTCTAATTAATAAAAGTTGGCTTTGAGATTCTAAAAAACTACAATCAAATCAATTTGTGAAATCAGTGAACATTTTAGATTAGGCACAAGAAGCTAGTTTTTTTTATTGCCCAATTGATAGCTCAAAAAAAAAAATCTTATTAATTGATAACTTTTCATCGCTGGAATTTTAAAATGTTTGATTGGGTGAGGAATCCATTTAATACTAGTTTAGAAACCTCACATATTTTATTAAAAGGAAAAGAAGAACTTGCAGATTTAATAAACGATCGCACTGTTCAAATTAAATTTAATGAGCTTGGGCTAGGCGAATTTTGGATTTACTCAAAAAAAGAATATCAGAGTTTTAAAAAATTGGTACTTTCCGTATTATTACCATTTTCAACATCATATTTGTGCGAGATAACTTTTTCTGCGTTGAACGAAATTAAAAACAAAAAAAAAGAGAAAGATTAATTAATGTCAAAGAAGAGTTAAGAGTAGCCTTGTCAAAGATTTTACCACAAATTGATACATTATGTAAGAAATATCAAACACAAATTTCTCATTAAAATACTGTTATGTTATATTTTTCTTTGTTATTTTTAAATTTACATTATCAATTAATTTTAAATATTTATTACCTATGATTCCTATTTTTATAACTCTGTGTCACAAAGTATGAAATATTTTAATAGTGTGTCCCAATAATACAAAGATTGAAAACTCTGGTCTATACATTATTTATATTACTTATTGTACTAAATGTATAGATTGTAATTCTTCAAAATAAAGTCAAATATTTAAAAAAAAGTATTATTAGTGAAATTCTCTACAGGTTTAAAATAAACTGCATGATAAATTAAAAAATTTAAATTCTAGGTTTCAGCAAATAATGATGATGATGATGATGATTGGGATAAATTTCAATCTGGAGCTAATAAAAAAGATCGAGTACTTGAGGGAAGAACTAAACAATCACATTTGGTTCATTGTCCTTACTTTCCTGAAGTATTAAAATAAAATAATTTAAATTTTTCTTATTATATGTGTTACTTATAATATATTTATAGGAAAAACATGAATATTGGTGGGTTTATTTAAGTGATAGAAAAAGTCGTACTTTATTGACTGTTCCATATCATGTGACAGAATTAGTTGACGAAGAAGAAATTCAATTAAAATTTACTGCTCCTAGATGGCCAGGAGTTTATGTATTTGCTGTTTGTCTGAGGTCTGATTCATACTTTGGCTTTGATCAAATGCATGATATCAAAGTGAGTGTCATAAATAATAATCTAGACTTTAAGAAGTATTAATTACATGATATTGAGTAGTTCTTAATAAAAAAATCAATAAAATGTTCCTATAATGCTTAATGCTTGTTTAATTATGAATAAATCTGATATTTCCTTATTTTCTATTCTTATATATTTAACAATTTATTTTTAAATGAAATTTTTTTTAAAAAAAAAAAGCTTAAAATGAAGTTTGAGATGTTTAGTGATGAAATAATTTAAGGTCTCCTTTATTTTTATAACATTTTAGTTAAATGTTTTGTTTAACTTTGTTGAAATACTTTTTACCTATAAGAGTAAATTATTTATTGAATCATTTAGTTTATTTTTATTTACTTCCAAAAAAATAAAAACCTATGTACATTTCCATATAAATATAATAATTTTTCAGTTGGATGTAAAAGAAGCACCAGAACCTTTAACAGAACATCCTCAATGGGATATGGGATCTGATGAGGAAGATTACAAACAAGAAGAAGACAAACAAAGTGATATATCTGAATTCACAACTGATGATGATGTTGAGGATTAAAAAAAAATACAAGCTTTAGGAGACCTGACCAATAAAGAAGTTCAAAACAATAAGTAGAATTTAAAGTAAGTAAATTTATATTTTATGGTAATATTGATTATAGGTTTTACATAATTATGCATTAATATACAAATAAGTGTAATTGGTATTTATGCAATGTTATTTTATTATTCATAACACATTAAATGTTAAATTAAATTTTAGCAATGAATCGCTTTTTTATTGACTGAAAAATTATATTTTGTTTAAATCAGTGATAAGTATAAAATTTTTTAATATATTTAGTATTTTGTCTGCATTTTTCAACCTATATTATTATATTTATATAAAAAATAATTTTCATATGTTTACAATATTCATTTATTATGTCTTAATTACATTTATTTAATTTAAAGTAAAAACCAATAGTTACATTTAACTCTTCTTTTGTTTTAAAAATCAATTTTTCTTTCTTTCCCACAAGATTGTTAGCTTATAATTATTAATTGTAATTGTAATTTATGTTTAAGGAATTTGCTATTCAATTTCCTATAAGTATCAAATATTATATACAGGTGTAATAAAACCATTATTTGAAAATAAAAATTGTAACACATTATTTTTGTAAGTAAATTGATGTTATAATTAATTATGTAACATTATATTTACTTAAATTTTACAGATATATAGTATAATTGGAACCACCATATTTTAATAACTAATAATATTATATATCTTTACATCATATGTTTTTTTTTTTTTTTTTTGAGTTCATGGATTAATAAAAAAAAAAATTTCTTTTATGAGACTATATCCATATCTTTAACAATATAAATTATTTCCTAGTTACATCTTCAAAGTTGATTTTTTTACCAAGAATAGTGAAACTGAATATATATACAATAAAATATTATGTTAATAACTGAAAATGTGTTGTTAGAACCAATTGGTATGAAATATCAACACACAACTAAAGATGGTACATATGAAATAGTAAATATTTAGGTCATAATAAAATAAAATTAAGATTTCACAAGTATATGGTGGCCTGATTAAGAGTATTTTAATATTGTGTTTGTCTTAGGTATTGATGATTGTATTAAGTCACAATTTTTTTTTTTTTAAAAAACAACTATTTTATGAGGCCTCCAATTCAACGCTCATGTTTTTCTTCCTTTAATGTTGTCTTACTAATTATGAATTCATATTTAATTGAACTGTACTTAAATTACATGTTAATATCACTTTAAAATTAAAATTAAATTAAATTCAAGAGTGCTGTCATTTATCTACTTAATTAAACAATAACTATACTCTTCTTTTTAGATTAAAATAAATAGTTAAATTAATTTTCATTAATTAATAAATAGTCAAAACCATAACCATAGTATTTATTAAAGCAAAACATAAAATACATATTATTATAATGAATAGGAAATATGAGTATATAATAGAAAATGTAAGTTTAAATTTAATTTTTAAAAAAAAAAAACAATATAAAAGAAATAATTATTATCCTGTTTACCTTAAAATAATGTCTTATTGATGACTGAATCTAAAATTATAATTTAAATTTAAATTTAAGTATTTATTGATCCTAACGACAAAAACTTGGTGGAATTCCATCATCTGTTCTAGCACGCTTTCTTGCTTGCATACCAGAAAAGAATTCTTGGACATCTTCTACTTTTACTACTTTATCTCCTTTAAAGCTTCCAAGCCATTCTCCCAGATCTTCTTTAAACTGATTGTACTCTAAAAAGTGAAATAGAATCTTATAGTAGATAACTAATACAATACATTATTTAAGTTATAACTAATACTAACGATGAGCCAATTCCACGGCTGCAACTCTATCCATTGATGATAAGGCTTTGGAAAGACCTTCTTCACTTTGTTTTTCTTTAGCTGTCATTCTCTCGCGGCTTTTATTTTCATATGCTTGCAATGTATCTTGTTGATCAGTTATAAATGCAACACCTTCTGCTTCATATAATTTCTATATCCAAAATATCAAAAATAAATTATGGTACGATAAAATGTAGTTATCAGTATCATACATTACAAGCAGAACATGTACAAAGTTCTTGTCGCCAACCTTCAACCCAAAAGGAACTACCGGTAATTTTTTTTAAGTCTTTGGCATTTATTAACTTACACGTTTGACCTTTTGATGTGCTAGCAACATTGTTAGATATCTAAAAAAAAGTTAACCTTAAATAGTTATGAAAAAGGTGAAGAAAAAGAAAAAAAATAGTTAAAGTATAAAGCTTCAAATTAATTTAATAATAATTATATATATAAATTATTTTTTTTTATTGAAACATACCATTTTATTTGATTCAACATTTTTCAATTTGTCTTTATCCTCTAAAAATAAATATTATTATTAATAAAAACATTATTACATGGTCAATTTAATTTACCTTTTATATCCTTTTTTGTATCCACTATATCAACATCCTATGTCAAACATATTTACATATTAATTGAATTAAAATAACTTTCAAATGCCAATAAGAATTAATAAATAATTCTAAATGACCAATTTCCATATTCATTTTTAGGATTCAAAAACTCAAAATATACCTATTCTTAACTCATTAAGGATTTTTGTAATAAATTGCTTAATAATAAGAACTACTTGATTCTATTCTAGAATATATTAATATAGAGTATGGATCAAAAACAATTACAGATTTATTTCTTAATGAAATAAACAAAATTATATATATATAATTATATAAATATATATATGTGTGTGTTATTTTATTTTGAGACTAGATAAAAACTATAAAATAGTACAATTAATTATTTAAGTCAATAAGTATACTTTTTTATATGACAAAAAAAAAAGTTTTTGTAAATATACTATGCTTGTAATCTGATTACTTTACCAATAAAGTTCATTAAAAAAAAATGAACATATAATTTGTACATCATATAATATCCATTTTTTAGAAAATTTTAAATTTCTTTTTGGTATGAAATTGGTACAAATTATAGATGTAATACAATTAAATATTTATATAAATGTTGTATAATTGTTTTCTAGGTGTCAAGTATTATGTCAATGCTCAGATATGAACTATGTCAGATCAACAGATAATAACCTTATTTTATAAAATATATATATAAAACAATTACCTCAGTCTCATCACCTTTTTCAATATTCTCTATTGGATCATCAGTAACTGCAAAATAATATAATTAATTATTTCTTAAAATGTAAATATTAAGTTATTAAGGATGTTGTGAATTGCATAAACAGTTGCTTATTTTATATATTATATGAATTTTGGTACTGAAATAAATAAATAAATTAAGTGTTATTACTAATTTATCTAGTACTAAGATCGTTAGTCTAAAAATCAATTATTTATCAATTACTTATTATAATAATCATTAACTTCATTATTTTTAATTTGAATAATAATAGCAGCATATACTTTTGATATATGGTCAATAAAAACCTAATTTATATTGTTTTTACATACAGGGTTAGAACTGAAAGAAGAAATTCAACTAATGTTTAGACATCTTAAACATATTGCTCATTATTTATCAATATAAGTCAATCATATTTTTAAATAAGATAGAGTTCTAATAAAGCAATAAAATGTTTTAGAATACATTTTGTTATTAATAGTTACTGTACAGTAAATTTTATTGATTTTAATATTTAATTATTAATAATTAAATTAAGAATCTAATGAAAAGTAGTTTAATAAAGTTGAATAAAAATGTTTTATACATTTTTTCATCAAATACAAATTTTAATGTAAATTATCTTTAATTCAATGTTTTAAAACTATTCAGTCTACATTAAAAATAACTTGTTAATCCTTAAACTAAAAAAGCAATTTCTTTGTAGTATGAAAAATAAATAATACCTTACCTATCAAATGTTTATAGGCTGGTAAAAAACTTAATTTGGACGTACAATCAGAACATATCATTTCAGAATAATCATCTGGGTTCATATCTTTAGTGCCCAAATGCTAAAAAATATTAGAATATAAATTATTTAAATTAAGTATCTTAATTTAAAATGTAAGTACCTTGCTATGGAACCAATCCTCACAAACAATACATTGTATCATCTCATCAGTATTTTCAGAATCAGGATCAGGATAAGGGCGTTGACAAATGCAGTATAAACCTTTAAAATTTTGGTTGTAAATATTTAGATCATTTGTTTCAAGTTTAACCTAGAAAAAATAAATATCAATTTATATATTTGTTCTCGAATAATTTATTGAAGATTAAATTAATAAAAATCCAATAAATTTAAAGATAATTTAAATAATAACTTAAATCTATACATAACACGAAACAATATTATTATTATTATCATCAACATAATGAAACTTTCTATTAATTACTAAGAAATATTAAATTTGATCCACACTAGAAGAGCAGAAACACATGGAAATCTTTACAGTTGCCACATGCTGCTACTTCATAAGTATTTATTAATGTTTCTAAAGTTGCAAAAAATAAAATGCTCTACATAATATACAATATATTATATTGTTTAGATTAAAAAAGAAACATATTCCATAGAACAATATAAAATTATAACAAATTATGAAAGGTTACTACCAGTTTTTTATTATTATTGACATATTGTTTCACACTAAGATATGTTTTGATTTTTTAAATATTAAATTTTTTGTTTTAAATTGGTCAGCATGATGTAAATTAGTATACTATAACAATAAGTGATAATTTTTAATAATGTAACTTATTAAGAGAAAAAAATAAACAACTGGCAATACCTATCAACATTTATGTTATGCAACTATTTGTTACCTATGTATGGAATAAGCACATTTTTATTAACTAACATAAAATAAAACACTTTCAAATTCGAGGTATTTATTAGTGGTGAACATAAACAAGTTATTAGTAATTTATATATTCTTATAACCAAGATAGCACTCAAAATTTTCGGTTGATATAGTATAGGATATTACTTTAATAGTAATCAATATATTTTCATAATCAAGTCATTACTTGAATTAATCATGCAACATTTTTATTAATGTAATGACACCGAATAATATAAGTTATAAATTGTTACATGAAATAATAAAATTAAATAAAATTGTCCATAAATCATAATTACATTTTATTTTGTTTTTCTTTATTTTAACTTAAGATTGATAAATTATTAACATAATAAGAATCAATATTAAAATTATTCTACACATATTTATTAATAGTTATTAATAAATTTAACAATTTTAATTATTAAAAAAAAAATTATGTTACTATTTAAAGACATTATGTAATTTAGATTTTTAGGACAAGGGCGGCTTACCCCAAATAGTTGTGGGAAAGACAAAAGGAGAAGAATAAGATTTTTATAAATTAATTTGCTAATTAAAATATTCTAAATAAGAAATAATAAATTAAAAATTTATTAATAATATTATTCAATGAATTATTTACATTGATCAGAATTGTGTACTTTAGATTTTAAAAATAATGTTTAAATAAGATACCAACTCGTCTAAGTCGAATGACAAGTACTGAAGTTATTATAGTTAGAGTAAAAATCATTCTATAACATATTATTATTATTATTTCAAAAATCGAGATATCTTATTTTCATCAATCAAGTACCTCGATTATTTTTACTCAATTAAGCTTATCTTTAGTATATATCTCACTACACTTACAGATCAATTTTCGAACAAGTTTATCTTAATTATATTTATTATATATCATGTACCAAATTATTTGCTTACTGGTTCTAGTTGACATTGAGATGTAAACTTATCATTTCCACAGTCGCAACGATAATTTCTAAAAGTGATTAAATTAAAACTAATTAGTAAATTCATATTTTTACCTTAAAATAATAAACATAATAAACAAATTTTTAAAAAAATATCGAAAATATTTTTGAATGATCAAAATATTAGTAAATTATTGGTAATATTTAACATTGATATTTTAAATTAAAAAGTAATAATTAAAATTCCCGATATACTCAATAGTATATTTTATAGGTACATATATTTTAGTTATTTGAAATTTAAATTACTTTTCTTTGATTAAAAATATACTAAAATAATCTACTGCAAATTGAACCAAGGATAAAAATATTAATGATTTAAAAATAAATGATTCCAACACCTTAATAGAATTTGTATTTGAATTTACCTTTTTGTCCATAATTCGACCAAATCATGGTTATCATGACATTGGTACATGCAAGGCAAACAAATTGCACCTGGTTCTTTGTCCTTTTCTGTACAAGTCAAACAAGCATATAATGCTTGTCGTTTCATATAACCCTAGAACACAACATAATTAAAATATATACACAATTCATCAACGAATAGGATGTTCTTTTACGAACCATTGAATAAGTACAACTGTCGCCTTCAGATGCCTCGAGTATCAAATTGGCTTGTTCTATTTCAGCGTTTTGACCGTTAATGTATTCCACTAATCCTACAACATGATCATCTTCGTTTTCATTGAATGAATTACCTTCGGATTCTGACATGATTTCGATTGGATTGACAAATTTAAAATATCGTTATGAAGATTGTTTCAAAAGAAAAAGAGGTTGAAATATTAGCTAATTCACTAGTTAAAAAGTAAACTTGTTAATGACATTCAACATATACCAACTAATCGAGCACCGCTGAACAATCAGACGAATTTTCTTATGCTCAGGTCACCTATTCCACAATCACTAATCGTTAGGTTAACGTTACAGTTTGCTCCGCGCTCATAAGTCGTTACCGCCGAATGCTAACAAAGATAAACTGTTCACTGATGGGGAGGGGGAGATTATCATGGCATAAATATATACTATATTTGTGCCATGACTGGTAAGTAAATCGTAGGTATGGTAAGGACGTCTTGTTGGGTTTTTGAATTACAACAATGTAAATTTATAAATAATTAATAATATAAAAGAAAAGCTGTTGCAAAACATTCCATGCGATTTGATCGACAAAAAATACGGTTTTACAATTGCGTTTAGCTGATGGTAGACTTAACTGACGGTTTCCAACACGGTTGTCTCCACAACGTTTTAAACTAGCTAACTTTACTCAGAATTGTAATATAATTTATTTTATAAATATTGTGTGACTTAACTATATAATACAAGAGTGTACACTCATAAGGAGCATTGAGAAAACTTCCGGTTGCCTGGTGGACCATTACGAGCTTGAATAAAAACCACTAAATCTACAACAGATCTTCGTATTTCATCGATCATTATTTATTTATTTATGTTATTCAAATAAATTGTTATAAATAAAAAACATTTAAATTTAAATAGTATTTGTTGGCGGTACATCGCAACGAATACAATGTTAATCATCTTTTTCTATGTACGTATATTAAATATTTTAATTTTTACAGATTCCATTTCTTAGAATTTTAGTTCATAATGTATATATTAGAAAAAATGTACAGTAGAATTTTATGACTTAAATTTTCATAGCGTAGGTACTTGAATATTAGTTTTCTTTATTAGTTTTAATGTAGGCACCCGTTTATCAGTGAAAAACGAAATTGAGAAACCGAATCAGATCGAAGCGAACAAAAAGTAACAAAAAACTACGCACACAACTGAAACACACAACATTCCACTCAATATTTGAATTATGTATACTCTGTAAATGACCTATTAATGTAGACGAAAATTACTTTGAACATAACGAACACAATGACTAATGCTGTACATTTTTTATCAAATGGCTTTGGGCATGCTGAATCAATGTCTTTTTTTAAATCAAAATATTCACTACAATCATAGGCGTAAACTGACGAGGCAAGGAGGTTCACTGCCCCTAGAGAAAACCAGGAGGGGCAGAGCCCCCTCTGATATTTAACATAACTTGTTTAATACAAAGCAGCTGGTTATAGCTATTACTATAAGTACAATTTTTTTTTTAAATCTTAATTTTCAATTTTCGATTATCTAAAATAATGTTAGAAAATGAATAATTTTATAAAATAATAAGTAGGTAGTAAAGTGACGTTTAGCCGCGGATCCACTTTTCGTTAGATATGTATATACCTACATATTTGCCCCCCTCCCAATAAATTTCCAAGTTACGCCTATCACTACAATGGTGAGATGTATACAAGTTACGTTTAAGAAATTTAGCTTTTTTTATGTCCTTGTGTATATTTCTTAAATACTTGGTGAAACCCGAAATAGAAAAAAAAAACGATAACAATCAAATTCAACGGAGACTTTCGAACAAATACTCCAAATATATAGCCGAAGCTCTTGCCATTCTTAAATCCATTGAATATATGATTCCAGAAATCAACTATAACAATATCACGATTTATAGTGATTCATTATCTACTCTTACTAGTCTATAAAATGTTCACAACCCTACCGATATTGTCAGGAAAAGTCATAACGCTCACTATAGAGAACAGTTATTAAGCAAAAATATGTCATACTCTTGTATTCCCAGTCACTGTAACATCTATGATAATGAACATGCGACAAGGTCGCAAAACAAGCTCATATATCTACTAATATTCTCTCCTTCTACCTCTTCTTATACAGTGACATAAAAAATGTCATTGTAAAGGGCACACTTAACCAATGGGAAGCACAATGGAATAAAATGATCACGAAACTTAATGAAATTAGAAGATCAATACTACCCTGGACCTTCCCCAGCAACACTCCAAGAAAATATGAGTTAGCTCTTATCCGTTTTAGAATAGGTCACAACACGTTTTACACATGTACATTTAATGAAGAAAGAGGACCCCCCAACTTGCATATGCTGTGGGGTCCCTCTTACCGTCAAGCATATACTAACTGAATGTAGCGTATGTAATACGGAGAGAGTTAAACTGCAGATGTCCTATCACCTGGTTGTAATGTAAGTTCTGAACCAGATAATATCGTCAAGCTTAGTAAATTTCTAACAGAAACACCCCTCATCGACCTCTTGTAACCAACCTTGTCACTAACCTTTCATCAAAAAAAAAAAAAAAAAAAACACTTCGATGAAAACCCACAAATATACAAATCCACCATATTATATTTATCATTTATCTTTTTTATGAATTTATGAACTTATGTATTTAAATTTTTATTATTCCCATATTATTTGTACATTAAGCTACTAGGCTTACAATCTAATGTCCAGGCCCGTATTTAGGGGAGGGTAGGCACATGTCCGGGAGCGTCGTCTCAGGGGCGGCAAAATATTTTATCAAAATTAATTTTAAAAATTATATACCTAATGAATAAAAAATAAAACAAAAAAAAAGGAAATTGTATGTTTTATTATGTTAAATTTGTTAATTAAAAAAAGTATTAAACGATTTTCATTTATAATTATATTTTAATATTAAAGAATCTCGATTATAGACAAAATAATAAGTATTATATTATTATTATTTATTTTTTTTTTGGCGGGGCTTAAATTATATGCCTGGGAGCACCAAATTTTTAAATACGGGCCTGGTAACGTCCAATGGTAATAGAAGTAATGGATCATATTTTAATAAAAAAATAAAAAGAAAAAAACCGTTGCCTTGCAAACTTGACAGGAAAACATACTGAAATAAACTTTAAAACCACAGATATATAATAACATGTTATTACATATCTGTGTTTAAAACTCTGTAATTAATTTTAAATTCAAATTTAAAAAAAATAAATATTTGATATCCTAGTCATCATTATTATCCAGCGCGACAGTAGTGGCGCGAAGCTAAGTAAAAAAAAAAAAAGCGAAGTGGTCACTACCGTAGTATATTACACGAGCCAGAGTTTGCCCATTGAATGTGTGTAAATTTGCTCGTTTTCTATAGCCAGGGCTACTGACCTAATGAATGAACAGATTGGTCTTTTTGTGGTATCAATAAATCGGACATGATTTGTAGATTATACCTTTGTCATTTTCGAAAAAATTGGTTGAATAATAACGAATATATTAACAAGAAAGTCAAGTATTTTTGAAGCAAAAAGATATTGTGCTCAACCGTTTTTAGTTATTACGTTTCACGTAGCAGCGCACAAGACCGTATTACCCCCTCTATTCCGTATACGTTTTCGTCGTGGTCGTACACTGGGTAGCGGTTGCGACTTGCGGTTCCCGCCGTTGCTGGCATCTTCGCTTATCGTATTCGTTATTTCTGTTATCGATATTCATGTTTCTGGTGACATTCGATGTAGATGTGTTTATTTGCCAGTGGCGTATTTGAGGGGAGCGATGGGGGAAATCGCCTTCCCCGAGAATTTTTAGACCAAGACAAATTTAATATAAGTAATGGGTATTTTACTAAGAACCAAAAATTATGATTTATTTTATAGTATTACTACATTTGAAAACTTTTCAAATTTTACACCAATTTAAATAACACAAAACGTTAAATTTTTCTTAACGTTTTAATTGACCATAATGGTAAACGGAAAATTTTTTAAACGTTTAAATTTTTATAACGTTTAAACGCTTAAATTGAATAACGTTTAAATTATTTATAGCGTTAAATGCTCAATTGCTTATAACGTTTATATGTCCCATAACGATAAATAATATACCTATATTATTTTGATTGAAGACCCAGTCCATACTTAGTGAAAAATTAGATAAAACACAAGCGAAACTTTCAAAACACGGAGAGGTGTTAAAAAAGAATTACACAAAAGACCATTCAAAGTGGATCTGGCATAAGATTAAAAAAAAAAAAAAAAAATTGTAAGGATTCACCTGGTATAAATATTACCAAAAATTTTACTTGTAAATTTTGAGCCTGAATTAAAGGAAAAATTTGAGTCACCTCCCCTCTAGAAGTAAGTCTAAATACGCCCCTGGACGCCGCGCCAGTATATAATAGAAAAACCACGTTTTATTTGTTGTAATTGTAGTAGGCCGTACTATTTATAACATAATTATAATTATATTATAATTTGTTATTTGCTATTTCTAAAACATATAAACAGAAATTAAGAAAAAGGAGAAATAATTTAGAAAAAAACCACAAATACAATGTGTATGCTGAATTTATTAGTGCTTTTATAAACATTTACGATCCACTAAAAAATGCGTTATCTCATAAATTACAGATAGAATTAGTTTGTTCTGCGTGCCATAATAAGAGAATACAAATAACTCAAAACTATATTATTCAGCTTAACGTACCTAATGAAAATGAAACGGTAACTTTTAATACAACGTTAGATTATTTATTGAGAGAAGTGTTAATAGAAGGCGTTAATTGCAGTGCCTGTAATACTATTACAGATCATACGCAGATAATAAATATAGTAAATACTAATGAATATTTGTACTTTCAAATACAACCTTGGCGAGAATTTATTTATTTCGACAAATAAACATGTCTGTTTATAACTGGACTATTTAACAAATTTCCATGACAAATGTTACTAAATTTGTTTTATAAAAAGTCTTAAATATTAATTTATAAAGAAAATTAATTCTCGCAAATTAAATAAATGATTGAGATAGAATAAATTTATTGAAAATTTAATTTACTTAGCATTTATTCATGATATCACACTTAGCAATTTTTTACACGGAGTTCGACAAAGTGTTTTTGTTGGGATTATAGTGTCATGGGCCATAACCTCATGAATTTAACTATATTCATAAAATGTTTTCCTGCTAATAGTCATTCATATGTAATCAGTAACCTGTGACATACCATATGACCTACACTTTAACCACGGTTAAAAAAATACGTGTTTCTGATAAGATTTTCACAATTACAATAATAATAATAACAATTAAAATAGCAAGAAATATCAATTAATTTTGACTAATAGTATCTATATTTTATCTCGGTATTAGTGTTGAAATTATTTATTTAATTGTCACAAATATTTATTTTACCCATCGTGTATCAAATTTATACGGATAGTTGTTTGAATGAAATTCGCTTACAGGTAAAAATAAAAATTACGAAAATCATTTATTTGGTATGATAACAAATAGAAAGTGCATTTTTATAGTTAAGTGATCTTTGTGTTTAACATATTACCTGCTATAATATGTGTTATTTTTTTCTACAGGATATTTTATTATTTTATACTTAAATGACTACTCGAAGAAGAAGAGGAAATTCTGATTCAGACCAAGCTTCTTATTCTTCTAGTTATTTAACTCAAGAATCAACGGTTGAAAGAAAGATTAATAAAATAATGCCACGAGATCGTACTGCCGAATTTAACAGTGCAGTCAGATCTTTGCAAGGCCGACAAATTGCAAAAGCTGTTCAAGATAGAGATGTAAAAAAAGTCAAAGCTCTCCAAAGCTATGGAGAATTTATGATGGTAGCCAAAAGTGTTGGCTATAATATTAGTAACACTTATGCTAAATTAGAGAAATTGACATTACGTAAGTTGAGAAATATTCTTATACACTTATTATTATACTTATTTTATTTGAAAATATTTGTGTTTGAATGTATTAATTTTAATTCTAAATTTTTTAACTATAGACTATCTTATTTTAAATGTATTTAATTGTTTACATATATTATTCTATTCGTACTGTATTTAAATTTTATTTTTTTTTATACTCTAAAGTAATGTTCTCTAAAGTCTGATTTTTTTTTAAATGAAAATATCATTTTTTATTTTCTAGTTTGATAAATTATAATATAATAAGTATGCTTTGTTATAATATAATATTGCTAATTAATTAATTTAAATTTTTTTATAATCATATTTATTTACTTGCAATTTTGAATATTTATTTGAAAGTCATTGTATTAAATCTGCATTGATAACAAAAGTAAAATTTGTAAAATGATTTAATAATTTTTCATTTGTACATTTTAAATTATCATTAAATAAACAATATTGAATATATATTATAAAATTGTATTTGAATAAATTTAATTTTTAGTTGCAAAACGTAAATCATTATTTAATGATAAACCACAAGAAATTCAAGAATTAACTTACATAATCAAAGAAGATTTGAATAGTTTAAACCAACAAATCGCAAAATTACAAGAAGTTGCAAAATTACAAAAAGCTACTCAGAATAATGTTGGACGGAAACATTTATTGTCACATGAATCGACTGTTGTATTATCATTACAATCAAAGTTAGCTAATATATCAAATGAATTTAAACAAGTTCTTGAAATAAGGACTAAGGTAAGTTTTTAATAAATTTGAATTTTCTCCTATACATTATTTTTGTTAAGAAATGACCATTATATACCTGTTCGTAGTGGAAATAGAAAATAGTTTGAAGTACTTTTTATATCTAAATAACAAGCCCCGTAGAAAAAATATGAATTCAAAACATTTGAATCTTGTGGATTATTTATCAATAAAAAAAAGATTACAAATATTGTATTATTCACATAATTTGTGCATAATTTTATGTTGCCATATTATTATATATACAATTAAATACAAAATAAATAAATTATTGAAAATGCACAGTATAGTTATATGTGTAATCCACTATAAAATAATTTATTTAATATTAAGTTTTAAGGTTAGATTAATTTTCCTTATTTAAATGTTAAAGGTAATATTTAGTTTATTTACTCTATTTTTTTAAAAATAAATATTATATATAATTAATTATTTTATTTAGAACTTAAAACATGCAAAATCGAGAAGAGATCAATTTTCTCCAGACAATAATTTGGTTACATTATCTGATTCATCAGCATTAGTACCTAGACACAATTCTATTTTAATGTCAAGTAATCAATGTGCAATTAATATGGATAATAATGACAATCAAGATCGTTTACAAGTAACTCAACAAACACAAGCAATGGCAGTTTATGATAATACGGTATGAACATTTTAATAATTTATATGTATATAGTTGAGTTTAGATTTCAAAGCAATAATAATATACAATAGTAACCTGTATTTTTGTATTTATCTCAAACGCTGATAATTAATATTTATTACATGTTTTTCTTAGGATCAATATTTATATAGTAGAGCGGAAACCATGCAAAATATTGAATCAACTATTGTAGAATTAGGTGGAATATTTCAACAACTGGCGCATATGGTCAAAGAACAAGAAGAAATGGTTGAGAGGTATGAAATATTATTAAATTGTACAAATAAATATTTAGTATCATAATATATTATAAAGTGTTTGTACAATTTTACTTAAAACATTTTGCAAATTTTTATTATCAGAATTGATACCAATGTTCAAGATGCTGAATTAAGTATTGAAGCAGCTCACAGCCAAATTTTACGCTACTTCCAATCTGTGACTTCAAATCGTTGGTTAATGATAAAAATATTTGGTATTTTAATATTTTTTTTTATTTTTTTTGTTGTATTTCTTTCTTAACTCACATATCCATTGGTTTACATTTAGACAACAAATTATGAATAATTTCATTGTTATCCAATTATACAGTTATCTGTCAAATAAATAAATACTATATTTAAATTTCTTATTATAAATTTGTTAATTTTTTTTATTGTATTGCTTTAATCTTTAAAAGTATTTTAAATTTTTAATAAATTCTTTAAATGTATGTATGTATATAATTTTTAAAATCGTATAATTATTATACCCTATAAATAACATACAATCTTAATTTATGGTGCATTATAGATGTATTTAGAATCTTAATTTTAAATCTGGGAAGAATCTACTTCGTTATACATGTTTCCTAAGTACAATATTGGATACTAAGGTGTTTGGTCTCAAATAAATAGGTAATATAATAATTACTTCTACTTTATAATGAGAACTTTACAGGAATGTATATAGTCCTTCATTCGGAGGAAGGATAATTTTTCTTAAAATGTATTATGCAGAAAACGTAATTTCTTATACTTTATTCGAATCAATTTTCAACCAATTATATATTTTGTATGTTGCTAAGTGCGATTTGTCAGATCGACCCGTACTGCATGTTGCATTAGCTAGCTGCTGCATAGTCACTTTAGTTGACCTAATGTAATTTCGACTAACATAGGTTGGGCAGTGATAAGTGATAATACTAGCGGAGTTCAACGTGTTAATAAACGAATATCAAAAATTAGTTTTGATATTATAAATCATTTGTTATAAAATTAACGTAAATTAAAATCCACATTTTAATAAAAGTTATTTTGGACATTAGTTAGGGTGAAAATGACGTCCCCCACGTTCCGGTGAAAAAATATAGCTGTGGTAGGTACAGAAAAAAATTTAAATAGAACAGTAGAGCAGCGGTTCCCAAACTTTTTTCCACTGTGCCTTTTTTTAAACTCAATTTAGAAATGCTATTTAAAAATTAGGAATTTATTTAAAAATGCTTGAGTCCAAAAACTTCAGCTTTGTGTTACAAATAATGGAGGTCACTTCGAACATTTATAAAAAAAATGTAATGCATTATTTTCGTTTTTTTGTAATAAATTTTTTTTCTTTCTATTAACAATCAAGTTTAAAGACATTATATTAATTTTAATATTTCCTAAAAGCTCCACTAATAATTAGATATTTACAGATAGTCATAAAAAATCAGCGTTCCAATCGAGATTGATTAAATCGAGCAATTCGTGTTTTGTTAGGTAGGTAACAACTGTTATTATAATTATTCAAAAACAAAACTTGCATTAATTTTTTTTTTTTTTAATCAAGAGAATTGTACAACCTGTAAAGTAAGGTTTAAAATAAGCACAAGTGAAGAGAGAATACAGAAAAGACAAAATAATTGCTCTAACTTCGTCTATTTTTATTCAATTTTAATATTTATTTATTTTTTTTGAACGGTTTTAAAAAATATGCTTAAAAAAATGGTTAGTCATCTTAAAAATTGAAATTTTTTATATGCATAAAAAATTTTTTTTTTAATTTTTGAATTTTTTTAAAAAAAAAAATTGAATCTTATGCCATTCAGAATTTCCATACTAAGTATTGTAAAAAAAACTGGGTTTATATATATTGATTTCCCGTGGAGATAATAAGGATGATACGGGATTTATGGGACATCTGTATATAAGGATTTTTTATCAACTCTGGTGATAAGCTGTAATTGTGCAATGCACAAAGTGGGGTCACAGACTGAGATAATGCTCGTACAGTTGTATCCTTGTTAGAAATTTCAATTCAACTTTCCATCACGATAACAAATATAGTTTCATAGTTTCTTCACCTTTGTTAGTAGTAAGTTTGGGAGGTGGAAAACTTGAAATTTTGATGAACACCGTGTAGTTGATATTAGATAATATACATTAGTGTTGACTTTATCGCATTAATTCGGTCGATTGTGGGTATACACACTCGCCAATAGCCCAGTTGATAATATTATTTAATAACGAAATAATTTTGTGCGATCGAGTAATTTACCGTATACTATCTGATTCTCTATGTTCGTTATTTTTTATTTTTAAGCATTGGTCACCGTTATTAATACATTTGTTAATCTGTAAAAAAAATCAATAGATATTTTAAAAGAAATGTTTGTAAAAATTACTTTCCCTTATATTTATTTGTTTTTCATACTGTTGGTGCCGAGTATTGCCATTGACTCTTCGCTTCTCAAATGTCAGGTGTGTTGTCGTCTAGTCGAGGAAATTCAACGAAATGTTAGTTCTGTGGATCTTTCCCGCGTTGTGCAAGTGGACAATTTTCGTTTGGATGTCAATGGCGATCAACAGAAACGTACTGTCCCATTGGGTCGTTCACAAATATACTTAACCGAGGTAATGGAATCTGTGTGTGAAAAGATGAATGATTATGTACGTGCTACTTTCAAGAATAATGGTTCACTGACAGTTATACCATTAGTCTTGGAAGGCACAATGAATCCATTGATGAATGAAGTAGATGTTGTGCAAGATTCAGACTTAAACAAAAGTTTACAGTACTATTGTGAGGAAATTGTCAGTGATATCGAAGATGATCTTATAAGTATAATGAAGTCTGACGACGATAATGTTGTTCATTCCATTTGTACTGAAGTATCACAATTATGCCCAAACAAAAAGAATAAAGAAGAATTGTAGTTCAATACATTTTCTATATTAATATGTTCTTAAATGTTATTAAAATTTTATATTGTGAATCATTTTTGTAAGATTCCTATCCTACCTTTTTCTTTAAGATAAAAAATACTATATTATTTATTCGCTTATAAAATTGAATACATTGGTTATATTTAAAGGGTAGTGGTATATTAATTATTCTGTAAGACTATAAGGACTATAAGGAAATAATGTACCTTATTTTTAAAGTTAATTAAATTTTAACACATTTAAATAACCATAGTAAGTATACCCATTTTAAAAAAAATGAATTGGTTATCCTCAGTGTAACTGTATAAAGATAACAGGTTTATAACTAAAGTAAATTTTATTTTATTTATTTATTTTTAAATTAATACTTAATTTATCGTTATAATTTTTCTAGAATCAGTTTTTATTATAGATAAACGTAAATAAATAAATAATTGATTGTTACTTTTTTATCAACAATAAGATGTTTTATTTATAAATTTTGCATCTCAGAAGAGACGTCTTGTTATTCATAAAACAATTTTTGATTGGATCCATTATAACTATCCTAAACACTATTTTGATTTAATTTCATAGACGATGAAAAACTATTTTGTTAATAAATATTTTACTTCATAAATTACTAAAATTCATCCAATGTTATGTATATAGATTGATTGACAATGAATAGATATTTTTTGAGCAAGAAGATTATGTATCATTGTTTTGAGATCTTTAACAATTTGAATAATCAATATTGTAAACATTTGTACAGTTGAAATAAAAACATCTGATTGTTAAGGTTGTAAAAGTAATATAATATAATATCCATTTGTTAATAAAACAAAATAAATAAATTACTTATCTAATAATTATATAGATTGAATGTTATAATAAATTACTTTAATTTTTATACATAAATATAATATTCCCTACAGTGTAAGGTAATGACAAGTAATATATATATATATATGCTACAACATTACAAAATGTACACAACTAATAGTTGTAATTTAAAATTAATATTAAATAATTTAAATTTTAAATAATTTTATAAAATTATAGAACATCGATATTAATATTATTAATTTATAAAAATAAAAATATTTAATAGTCGAAAAATTATTTACAAATAACTACTAACTTATTGGTTGTTAACTTATTAGATTTATTCTTAAATATCTAATTAATATTTGAAAATAAAAAATTTACCAATTTTCAATATTTTTGTAAATTATTCAACTTAGAAAAGTATATAAAAAATACTTATATTATATGATACTTTTGGAGCATTCCTCCCCCCAAAATTGTAATTAAAAATAAAATAAAATGAAATTGAAGAATTTACAAATTCTAATTTTCTCACCAATAAACGATCAATTAATGATGCTTTTAGAATTAAATCATCATACAACTTTACAATAATTAAAATAAAAATAAAAATACAAGTAATATGAAGTTGATAATTGTTAAATTAACTTATATTTTATATATATTCAGTATAATATTAATTACTAGGATCTTGAAATTCAGTTTTAATATTTTGCTGAGAAATATAAACAGTTTTATTTGGTGGAGTCTAAAAAAAGAAAAAAATATTTAGTAAAATATTAATATTACATAAATTAAATAAAATTTACTTGAGAAACAATAGGTCGCTGAGACATAAGAACATATTTTTGTGGAGCTCCTGAGTTACCTGGTGTAGCGGAAATTGGCCGACCAACAGCTGTTCTAGATTGTGTACCTTCATAAAATCAAATTAAAAATTAAATAGGAATACGATTTATTTTATCAGGCCAAAATTTACTAGTTTGTGTAGTAGTTTGGTTGTTTGAATTTTGAGAAGTAACTATCACACGAGCTTTACATACAGCAGCATGCAATTGTACACCAACAGACCCAAATTCTTTTTTGTATTCTTCTATATTGTCTGGAGGCTGGTGTGTTATTTTCAACACTGGAGTTAATATTTTCTAAAATATAAAAAATTGATTAAACAATTGTAAGTAAAAATAAAAAGGTTAAGTTAAAAAAATTACACAAAGTAAATGTTTTATTTGATTTCCAGATATTCTATCAACATTGTTTTGTGTTACTTCTGGTGAGTCCAGCCTATCAGATATCATGCGTACTCTTGGAATGACAAAGACTTTTATTGTTTCTGTTCCTAACTCGGCAAGTCCTTAAACATTATAAGTTATTACATACATATACATACATTGTTCATTTTAAATCACAATTAATTATTTATTTTTAATTACCTTCTAAAGCGCCATACACAGATGGAAGAGCAGTTTTGTCTGAATTAGTAGCATTAGTGAATACTCTAGTAATACGTGTTTGTACATTGTTTGTTGGAGTATTGAACATTTTACAAATTTGTGCCATGAGGCGAGATGCAAAGTCTCTTAAGGCCCAGTGATTGTCAATTTCTGGTCTCATACATAATTGTTTACTTACAACACAAGTAACAACAGAAGGAATAATTTCATGTAGCTAAATTATAAATTTATAATTAATATATTGTTTAATAACATTTATAAATACATAATATTTTAATAATTATCAGTACATAAATAATATATATCATAAAACTTACATATTTTTCTAAATAGAGTGCTGGGTTGTCTAATAATGCTTTGACCATTCTCATTAAATAAATGAGTAGTGCTAAATTATTTTGAACGACATTTACTTTAACTCCTTCAGCAATAAAAGTACACATGCGAGGTAACATTTCATGAAGACCTGGGTCGGATGCTAAACTTTGTAGAGCTTCCTATAAAAATCAAAAATGTATTTCAACATTTACTATCTATCCACATGAAGAAATCGACATTAAAATATAAGAGAGTAGTAAATTAGATAAGATGGTGTAACAATTTACAATAAAGAGGACCCCGAAAAATCATAATACTTACAAATCAAAATCAGTTTAAATTTATTAGATAAACAAATCCCAAAGTAAGCAATACATCCTGATTTGATGTAGGTACCATGACAAAATCTTATTTCAAAAAGAGTACTGCAGTTAGAAAATTTTGTAAAACACTTTATTTAGTTATACAGTCAAGTAATGATAACTTGAAGTAAAAGGGGAATAAAAAAATCACTTTGAAATATAATTAATAATTTTATTTTTTTTAAATAATAAAATTTTATGATAATTAAATGTAGATTAATGTTATAACAAAATATTCTAATTTTCCTATAGTTTCGAGTATAGTATCCACGACTTCAACAGATTCAACAATTGCTTAATAGTTTGTAATGATGACATTACTTGGTTTGCCATAATCATATTTAAAGTTCTTTCAGGCTCTTCAGGAATCACTATTTGATATATTTATACCCATGACTTCATTATCAGTTAAGAGTCCACTGACTACAAAATTATTGTAGCATACGATTAAAATGCAATATGTTGATTCATATTAAGTCATCTGTTACAATTTGCCAATCATATCCACTATCATTGACATTGTTTTTTAATCATATATCACCACCACAATGCTCTTCATTAAAGTAAAATTTAGCTTTTTTGAAACAATTGAAAATTGTATTTGATTGTACATTACCATACTTAACTGAATAACTTAAGAATTTCAAACAGAATGCAGGTTAAAGCGTTTATTTTATAATAGTAAAAGTTATTATTATTTTCTCAATCAATTTAGAAGGATTAAAATACTTACTGCACGTCTAGCTTCATCAGATCCAACACAAGCTTCTGTAATTTCTTTATAATATAATTGCTGCTCAACCGATAACTCATGTGTTGCTAATTGTTTAACATGGACAGTTTCAACATTGCGTAATTTTTGTGCTTTCCTGATTAAAATAAATATGTTTACAAGACATTTTTTTAACTTGTTATAGAATTTTACCCTGTAGATGGTCGGCCTGAAACTTCTTTATCTATAGGTTTTTTTAATTTGCCTAAAGGATCCACACATTCAAGTTTTTGCATATCTTTAGATACTGATGGAGGATTTTCTGGTACAGTTGGCTGGACACCATCAATAGCGAGCCAGTGGCCTAATAATATAATAAAAATTAATACTTTTTCAACACCTTGCAAAAAGATTTAGTACGAACATCGAATACTAATTTCTAAAGGTAGTTTAGCTAAAGGAGCATTTACAAATTCAATAAGATCAATATCTTTGTCATCAATGAAATGCAATTCTCGTCCACCACCAGATGCATATCTAAATGGTATATGATCTTTTGAATGGAACCCATATATAGGCTAAAAAATAAAATAGTTAAATTTTATCTAAATATACTATAATTATATACAACAAATCATAATACACAATGTAATTCAACCAAGTATAATATTTTTTTCTCGCTAAAAATTAATTTATATTTTATTTTTACTTGTTTTACATTATTGTTTTCCTTAAAATATTAAAGAAAAAGTTCAGAATATATTTCATAAATTTTGAAAAAAATTATATTTTATTAACAAAACATAAAAATTATTTCTATTTTGCAATATAAAATTATTTGCTATGTTCATAGTTAATGCTATATTTTAAACTATCATCAACATTATATATATATAAAAAGATAATTTAGTAATGTAATGAATCTAGGGTGCTAATATGAACATTGGGTGATGCATGAAACAAAAGATGTACTAAAACTACTGGAATGCATTTTATTTTCATCTATATATTATGATATAAATAATAGTGACTATTGTTAGTAACACTAATTAAAGCATCAACCAATACTGAATAATTATTCGGTAAATTCAACATTTTTTTTAATTTTTAACTAATAAGTTATTTATCATCACTACCTCATTTAGAATATATACAAGTTACCATAGAGTGCCAGCAAATTATATTTTTAAACCATAAAAATAAAATATCTTGGCCGATTTTCATTTTCAAAAATATTGAATGCTTTTGTTTTAATGACCAGTATAATAAAAATCAGCTTTTGTTATTTTTTATTATTATCAGTATGTAATCGAAAGTCAACAGTTTTCAATAAAATAACACAAAATCTGATATTTATTATACTGATCATAAAAATAAATATTCATTTTACTAATGATACTTACTTCAATGCCAAATACTTTTAAAGCATTATCAATATCTGAAGGTAATAATTTACATCTATTGGAATGCACCATAAACTTTTTGCTCTCCTAAAAATAATGTCAGTATTTTCAATAATATTAATATTATGTAATACAATTATAATACAGTGATATGGTATGAATACAAAATGATACACAGGTTTTAATACAAATACAACAATATACTTAATACATAACATTAAGACAAATACATTTAAATACACCACCATACAAGAAATAATAAATTTAAATACAATTATAAAATACTATTATTATTTACTTGTAATACTAATTTTAGGCGATAAGTAGCAGAATCAGATATTTCTTTGGCCGCATCATCAGACAAATTGCCAATACCAACACTTTCGGCGATCACCTTTAATGATTCAGTGGGTATTGTTGAGCCATAGTTTATTTCAATTTCTCCCATACTGGTGTTAACGAGTGAAATAAATAAATTAACAAGAACTGGAAATTGATGAATTAAACGAAATCAAACACAATAAATAAAACCTAAATGCTTAAAATACCCAACCATTAACAAATTATTTAGTCGGATGTATAGTTTTGTTAGTATATATCAAATCACTGTAGGTAAGATAGGTATATAGTATCTGGTAGATCTGGTATTAACCACCATTTTATTAAATACCACAGAATAACACATCAATATTATACAGATTTGTTATTATATAGAATTCTTCTATTATCCATTGTTATATGCCATAAACCTATTTACTAAGTTATTTAAGTTTATATTGAATATATTAATACAATATAGTTTATAGGTCCATGTTATACGTATACATAAACGCTATAGAGGATGCTAGATATCCAAGGTCGATAGATAATAGAGATAATATAGATAAATCTATAGATTTATAGGTCTATGTAGGGTTGCCATAAATTTATAAGGCGAAACAGGGACAAAACAAACAATATTGAGTAATGTTTTTATTAACTTTTAATATATTGAGAGGACTAGTGGCGTATACATGGTTAGGAGGTGGTCAGATCCCCCCAAGGTTTTTGTTTAAATGTTATAAAATAATTTTCTATGTGAGAACGTTAGAAACGTAAAAAAAAAATATATATAATGATAAAATAAAAAAAACGATTTGATTGCAAATGATACCCACCCTTATAAAAGTTAGGTATACGCCACTAAAGAGTACCATTAATGGCTGGCTATATAATATTTAAAAATAAAATATATTGTATATTTATGCATGAATTACAAATTATATATTTATTATACATTGTTAATCGATTATGATTAAAAATTTATTTTGAGATAAAATGCTCGAAATTAGTAATTAAACAATACTAAATTTTCTCTAAACGTCTAAGCCGGAACATATGGATATCACGAAAATATTTTTCGGTACACGAAGTCCAAAACTGGTGACAATCCCAATTTTCTCGGACATATGGCAACCCTTGGTCTATGAAAATAATTTAATAATTATTAATTAAGGGGCCCAACCACGGTTACAGATACAATCTATAAAATATGGATATAATCTATAATCATGTTTAAAACTGACCATGTATAAGTCTTTTAGATGTTTGCACATTTATTCATATATTTTTCCAATGTAAATATTTTTCTTTATAATTCTTTTAAATAAAATATTTATCTTACGTAAATCTAAGTTCTTTTGAGCACAGTTAAATTATTTTCATTTTTTTTTTTTTCCTGAGCTAAATGATTTTAATTTCTATAAAATTATTGAAATAGTTATATAATTTTTAAAGTAGAATATTTTTCTATTTGTTTACTAAAATTAAACTAGTTTCTGATAAATTTTTTTGTATAGAATTTCAAATTAATTAAAAATTTATAATGTAATAAATATGTAAGTGTTATACATTTTTTAAAACATAAAACATTAAACCATTTTAAATTACTTTTTAAGGTTTATACATGTAAATTAATTTCTAGACAACAGATTGAATATCATATTAGTTTTTTCTATGACATACATGATAAACTTACCTATATTACTTTTATATATACTAATTACTATTAATTTCCTCTTTTCTTTATATTCTATAATAAATAAAGGCTAAATTTAATTTGAATCAATAAAAAACTTATATATGTAATAAACTATTGCAATATTTCAATGTTATAACAATATGTTTCTATTCATATTTAAATATGGTATTTTCTTAAATTACAAGTAAAATATCAGTAGATCACACTCTGTATCATCAACATTTAATAATGAATATTATACACAAATATTATTAATTAAATATTGATCAATTTGTAATAACATAAATTAACCACATTTTTTCAAATAACACTATCTTTTGATATTAAATCTGTATATTTCAAATACATTTTTAACAAATTAATATAATTTAAAATAATTTGATAAGTAAGCAAATGTATACAATAGTTGAAAATTAAACTCAATCAGCATTTCTAACATAAGTAACCTAGACAATTATGGTTATAATGGTGATTGAACCAAAAAATTCTAAAAACTTTTATAATATAAAGTTATGCAAATTTAAATCCTCTATCTCTATAAGCTACTTGTCCAGTACGAATTAAATTTTCACGGCGATCCTAAAAAAAATATATTAAATTTGTATTAGAAGTATTTAGAATATTAAACAGATATTTAATATCTGGCACTTGTAATAAACATACACGTTCTTTTTTAATGACATATGTCAAAGTGCAGTAAGGCACCACGAGTAACAGAATACCGAGCAATGATGTCTTAGGAGTTGGCTTGAAAAATTCATACTGTGTACTTTTTAGTGACATGTATCTTTGAACACCAACATCAAACTATAAAAATACTTAAAATTTTAGACATTCAATAAATTGCATAGCTTTCTGTTTACATACCAGAGTGCCACCTTCCATTTTTACGTTTCGATATGGATTTGAACAATTCTTTATATATTCTTCAGATACAGCCTTTCGTAATGCATTTTTTTTCTTAATTATTTCGGGATCAGTAATTGTTTTAAAAGGAGATGCGGAAGCCATTTTAAATTACGAATAATAAAGTTAAAATAAATTTTTATTCTTTTAATCATCTATCTTCAAGTCTTCTCATTTTTTATCAATATCACCTTTAAAACAGCGTGACCAACACAATCTATCGAATAAGTAAAAACATATTTGAACAGGTGTAAGAACCTTGTTGTCATCTTCTTATAAAACTATGGGTATGTTTCTTTTTTACGGGGCACCTAAAATTTCAGATTTTGTCTAATGCCAACTTATGTATTTTTTAACGCTGAAAACTATGATGCAAACGAAAATTGGCGCAAACGATTAGTTAGGAAATTACAATTGAAATTTATTGAAATCTGATAGTTTTGATTAAATAATCTTTTTTCTAAAATTATTTTCAATGTTGTCAAGGTGCAAATGGGACCACCATTTAATAGAGGGACACGAGTTATCAAAGATTACAGTGGTTTGACATAATAGAAGAGGACCTGAAAACTGTGGGAGTAAAAGAATGGAAGGAAATTATACAAGATCTAGAGAAATGGAGGGATATAGTGTTGGCAGCAAAAACTCTAATAGTTATAAAACCCAGTGATGATGATGATGATACGAATTACCGTATACCGTAGCAAGGAAAAATACTTTTTGCATTTTTTTTTCCACTTTTTTTTGTAATCGGTATAATAATTATTTTATAATAAGGTTATATAAATGCTACAAACATGTCCAGGGGGTATGCAGGGTATGCAACTGCATTATATATTATAAAGTGTTGTTATAAAATAAATTTCAGTTGTTTCGATTTTTTGGCCAACTCCTCTAATACTTCATCAACAGTAATTTCAACTTCCCTGCGAATGTTTAATATAGCCAATTCTGCAAATATGTAAGAATTTTAGTTTATTTTTATTTTTTGGAGGCTCTGTGGGGGGGTCCAGTACCCCTGGACTCCCCTCCCCTCCGTAAATACGCCACTATACAGAGCATAATCCCATTTACAACAATATCGAGGTTTGTACAAAAACTAGGTTAGGTTTAGACTATAATTCCTCTTGGGGCGAAACCCCATCATCCCCACCAAAAAACTCCACGCAGTCTAGGGCGTATTTGAGGGAGATGAAGGGAGCAATCGCCTCCCCATTGCTCGTATTTTTTTTGAATATAGTACATTGATTTATTTAAAAATGTAATGTATAAATAATTAAGAATATAAATTTCTCGTCTATCATTATAATATGTTATCATTATAACAGGAACATGAGCTATAGGTAACTGTAAATTATTTTAAAGTTTGTAATAAAGAAAAATAAGTTTCACCCCTCCCCCCGTGGCTACAACACAAATAAGCCCTAAACGCAGTGGCACTCGAGCTTGTGAGTGAAGCTGGCAGGCGTAATGAGCGAAGTCCTATAATTTTTAAAATTAAATTTCCGATTTTTCGAAAAAAAATGCAAACAATTTTCATTACGATAAGAGATAACCATCTAACCAAATACAAAATTATCGTTCAAAAAAAAAAAAAAAAATGCACATTTTATTCTGCTTGTGCGGGGGTCGGACTTGATTACGTGGGTAAATAATAGATACTGCTACCCTTGAGCAACACTTTTAAACATTTTTGAAGATACATAACGAGTATTTAAGAATTTTAGTATAAAGTTATAAACTTTAACTAACTATTACTGAAAAACTAAGTTCTTGAGCCAAATTCTAATTTCACCATCATTTTTTTCACCCAAAATATGACTAAGCCCTCCTAAAAAATTGACACAATTTAGGATTTCTCGTAATCTAGAAATTTTTCAAAACTAGCATAACTACTCATTGGAAAAAATCTTAATAAGAATATAAATCAGATTTATTTGAATACAATTTGTTCAATATTTCTAATATGCAGTAAGAAATTTGATAGGACTTTGAATGTAACTCATTATTTTCTTTTGAAAATAAATTGTTATTGATAATATATATATGCATTATGGTCCAATTGTTCAGCCTTACACTATATATGCTTATTATATATATATATATATATATATATATTTTTATATGTATCAATTTATAACTTACATTTAATCTGCTTAAGATTTTAACTTTTATTAGTTAAATAGCTTTCAAAATAATCAAGAGAAAAAACAGTGATTAAAATAGTGTTTATTGGGTACCATAATAAGACATTAGAATTCACTAATTAATAAATTCCACCTATTAACAATTTTACTAACACATTTTTGTCAAAAATATATAAATATATATACATATATACGGTGGATCAAAAAGTTTCCATACACTAATGTTAGATTTTTTCAATAACATATAGGTAATGACAGTTTTTAAAAGTTGAAGCACTGTATATTTTTAACAAATATGTATTCAGAAACAACAACATTTTGTTTTTAGAAAAATGAAGCATACACATTAATTTATTTATTATTTACCTGTAAATTTATATTTTAGGAAAATAATAGCATAAGTCTCAGTGGATAATATGAATAACAGATAAAAAAAGTATTGAGATGGAAAAAATTTGTATAAATTGAGTTATGTCATAAATTAATTATAGTTGTACAGAAACTTTTTCTACTCAATGTATATATATATATATATATATATATATATTAAGTATATTATTCTTTTCTTGAATAATATTGAATATTATATCATATTTTGTTTTATTTTAATAGTTATGAATAGAGCTCGGATGTTTATAACTTGGCATATTTTTTTTCGCGCAACCAAAATTATACCCTAATATGATATAAATTTGATTCATGAAACCTTGATTGTAAATATGCAAACTTATTTTGCATATATTTGCATATTTGAGTATATATCGATTATTTCTAGATACAGGAGCATATATTTTATATTTTATATAAATTATAAGCATAATATTAAAAATTGTCGATATTATTATAAATTATCAATCATTATCATTAATTGTGTTATTTTCAGTCTACAAATACTTCTTGTTAGATTGTCGTAGGTCTTTCAAATTTGAAAATATCAGCAAAATTATTATTGTACAGTGTAATCCTGATACTTAAAGTGCTTAACCTTTATAAAATTTAACTTTAATAGATCGAAAACTAATTAATATATATGTATAAACATTTAATTAATTCATAAACAAAACAATATAACTAATGTACAAGCCCAGGGAGGATCTAGAAATTAAAAAAGGGGAGAGCTAGTAAAGTGAATTAGTGCCATAATTTGTTGTGCATGTCAATTTGAACAAAGTATCTCTTATGTCTGATATGGTTCTATCTATTATCTAAGGGGGACTTCAGCCCCCATAGTATCCCCTTGTATTTGCATCTGAACATATCTAATACTTTAATAAAATATAATTATGATTTATATAGTTTAGGGATGCCTTAAAATATACTGTTATGACCACACAACAGATTTAATACTAGTTTACATAATTAACATAATTTAACATAATATTATAAATTATATATTATTTTTTATTACTATAATTTCTATTAATGTGGTTTTTCAAAAGACTCATTATTTCATTGTCAAATTCTTGTGGTGCAGGTTTAGATCCAATAGCCCAAGCATATAACTCCCATTCATCGAACCTGCTATTGATCAGTGCATCATATTTTTGTAATTGAGCTTGATCAAATGTCTTCAAATACCTATCGGCAAATGTAGTAAATATTATACAATTTTCTAATGTGCCTCTTTTCCTAGATTGATATATCAGACGGTTTCTCATTAAATTTATATTAGAATCTGGAACATTTTTAGTATTACTGACTTGAGCATAATTGCGAGTTTTGGAAATAAGTAAATGTGTATTTCTCTGAAATAATTGAGAAAACATAAGTGTTATTTTGTTTTTGTTAATTATTACAAACGGTCAACTATATACAAACCATTATAGAGTTTCTACAAAAATAAACGGTTTGGTTCAGCATGTCGATCTCTCTCAGTTTGGTGAAATATTGAACTTTAAGGTTTATTGATCAGAATATGAAATTGTATTACGAGTTATTGTGAAATTACTAAATTTGATTAAGTTTGTTTTTATCTGATAATAAAATATAAGTAATCACTTATCACACCATAACATAAGCATGACATAAACGTTTCGCTCCTGCCGTTTCGTCAACATCAAAAAAACGAGTCCACAGACGTTTCGTCCTCGTCTATTATTAAGATAGGACATTTGGCGAGGGGCGGATCCAGAATCGGGGAATTGTAGGTCATGCCATTTCAAGAGGCCATTTATTAGGGATGAAACTGAATTAAAAATTAATACCTTGCAAAAAAAAAAAAAAATGCTCATAAAAATGTATAAGTATATTTATATTAAATTTTAGAATTAGTAATAATACCACCGATAATAACTTATTTACAATTAATAAATATAAACTTATTTTATCAGCGCAAATATGATTTACTTAACTTTCTACTAAAACGATATAATTTAAAATATAAATTATGAATTGAAAAATTTTAAATATAAATGACATTCATTTTTCAAGTAACTCCGATGGGCCAACTGTCCAAGAGTCCAAATCAAGGTCTAAAAAGAAAAAAAAATTTCCAAGAGTCCAATTTTGTCAACACATATTAACTGTGGTTCAGCTGACCCCTGACCCCCCCAGATCCGCCCCTGAATTTGGCCCCCGGGATTTATATAGATTTATTTATACCTACCTACAGAAAGTTTAGCCACTCGTTAGGTTAGGTTATTACGTTCTAAATTAATTATCTAATAAAAATAATAATATAGGTGAGTAAACTAACAAGTTAACAATTTTACGAACACCATTTTACCTTTATGACATTATCGATAGATATATTTATCTTAATCGAAGGTCTTCTTATCGACAAATGATATTGCTCGACTATTATTTGTCAAGCAATGTTAACTTTTTCAATTTGTATTGTAAAGACTACGGTTATTTACGTAAATTATTGATGTAAATAAATGTGGTAGAGACTAAATAATATTTTATACCTGCTCTGGATACTATAATAGTATACTGCACAGAGTACACTACGTAGTACTAGATTGTCAGTGTAATTGTGTACGTCAGTGAATAATGGAGTTGACCACGAAAATAATGAAATTATTAATTTGCCAAAAAAAAATCAATACTAAGATAAAATAAAACAACATTGTATTAAATTTAAATGTAGTAATGATAATGATATTTAATATTTTTTAAAAAGAAAAATAAGTGATCTAATATAAATAATTTTGTATAATTAAAATCTCTATAATTCCCGGGGGCCAAATGTCCTATCTTAATAATGAAGAGGGACGAAACGTCCGTGGACTCTTCTTTTTTGACGGGGACGAAACGTCCGCGAATCTTTCGATGAGATTATATTAGGAAGCAAATTGTTTTCTAAGCATCAAGATGATTACCAAGTACATTTCAATGTTTTCTATAAACCACAACCCTGCTACCTCTCCTAGGTGGCCCAATACTAAAAGTCCATAAGGTTAATTAATGTAAAATACATTTCATAACTTTAGTATTGTAATTCAATCGTAAGTATACCACGCATTTTATTAAAAATATTGTATATATATGAACAATATCTGTCATTAAATGAATTGTCTATCATCTTTAATAATAAAGGTAATTTTTTTATACTCAAAACTTAGTTTATATTATTATACAATGAATAGGCTAAGAGCCGAAATAGCTAAGACAATAGTCAACATGGTGAAATGGGGATACCAAGAAGGACTTGACATTTGTGAATGTGGCGAGAGGCAATCCGATGAACACCTACTAAAATGTGCCCTTGCCCGGTCAGGATGCACAACTGACGATTTGGCGATTGACAATGAAAACGCTATAATAATAGCCACCTACTGGCTGAAGCAAAATACTTAGCACTTTTATATTTTATATCTTAATGTCATTTATAATTTAATGCAATTAGTATTTATCAAGTCCAGCACTGGCCACGATAAGAAGAAGACTGTTGGGTATAATATAACAAGAATTATTAGAAATCTAATTCAAGTTGGTACATTTTACAATCCTGCTAAAATAGCAAAATATATTAATTCTAAAGTAGATAAACATGAAAGATATATGTATATATATATATATATATATATATATATATATAATCTATTTATATACAATTAATACATAACTGAATATATTGTATATTGAACTGAACAATACATTATTTTTCAGCAAAGATACCATGATTGGTTTAACTGTAAAAAAAGACTCTACTATAGTAAAATTAAATTGTAGAAAATATAACTTACTTTTTCAATAATTTATCATAAGAGTTATACTACTAATTACTATTTCTCATTATGCAAAAATACCAACAGCATAAAAGCATTACTAAATTAAATACTTACGAGTCTATAGTTTTAATATGAACAACAACATTAATTTAAGAAACATAACATCCATAACAATATATCATTATTCAAAATTTCAAAAAACATTACATTTATTGAATATATAAACAATTTAATGAAATTATTATTAAATCACTTTATCTACTTCAGTTTCATTTTTGAACGCAATTCAGCTAACGTGATAAAAATAGCTTCTTCGGTTCTAATAGTTCTTGAACCTTGATTTGGACAAGTGTTTAAATAAACATCAAATAATGTTGATGGGTTTTCTTCATTAATATTTTGATCAGCTTCTAATGCAGCTTCAAGTCCATGAACCCCTCCAAAACATATTAATGCGTGTTTGAAAATTTCAAGTTGTTTCTGATCGGCTTGATCTACATCAACTCCTTTATCAGATGTTCCGATTTTTAAATCATAACCACCAGGATAGGGACATTTAGTAAATACTTCATTGATTGATTCAGCATTTCTAACAGTGTAACCCCAGTAAATTCCCAGTTCATTTTTAGGAGTACTCGGAGCAACAACAATACCTTTTTGTCGTTTAGAATCGCTTGAGTTAGGAATAAGCTTGACAGTAACTCGTACAAATGGCTGGATACATTTGTCAACTAAGACATGTTTTCGAAGACCAACATCAACATTACAGCCTTTCCCTTTTTTTGGTGGAAGTGTTGATACAACACCTTCTCTACAAATGAAAATATCATTCAAATTAAATAATTATAATAATGTATTTTTATTATTTTATACTTGGCAAATAATTTGATATTTTAGCATTAATAGTATTAAATATTTTAAAATAAATATTAAAAATAAAACTAAGAGCCAATTTCTCAATTTTAAAGTCACAATAATTGATTGAATTTATGTAATCTGCGAAAAAAGGTAAATTAAAAAAAAAAAAAAAAAATTAATTGAATTTTAATTATTAAACATGTAAATCCATAATTCAAACATTTTATTTTATAGCAATTGCAACTATTTTTATCTAATAATTTATGTGCAGTTATGTCAACAAATTATAAAGCTTTATAAATTTAAAGGTTTTTTTAATGATAAAATTATAATTAAAAACCATATATAGCAACTAATTCACCTAAATGGAACATTGTCTTCTTGTCTAAAATGATGAGGTGCATCAAGTGGATTTAACACTCCTGTGTATTTTAAAAAGTTATGCATTGGAAATAATATCCTCCTCAAGTATTGTGGGCATTCCAAGTATTGTAAAATTATTGCTAATTGTTTACATGTCTTAGAACCTCCTTCAGTTTTTTTGTTGGCTATCATTACATTTGTCTGCTCACCAACATCATCAAATACTACAATCTAATGAAAAAGCAATTAAAAGAAATATTTTTGTATTTTATTAAGAATTCAACAAAACAAACCTCATCTATTTTGTAGATGCAAGCAGCTCTTGCTATTTGACCAGCTAAGTAAGTTCTGAATTCTGGAGACTGAGCATTATCTAAAATGGATCCTGGCACTGCTATAGTTACAGTAGGCAGAACTGCTACTTTTGTCGATTTTGGTTTACTTTTTGTACCTTCAATGGAATTGAAACTGTTATTTTCTATAGGCTCATCAGTGTTAGCATTAACCACCTCTGTAACTTGATTTTTATTTTTCTTCTTTTTCTTTACTTTCTCCATTAATAATTCAACAGATTGTGGTTCTTTTTTTATTTCTTCTTGTTTTTTTGTTTTCTTTTTAATCGTTTCAATCACCTCGTTTGCTTCTTCTTTGTTTTCGAATGTATTCTTTTTTTTTTTTTTTTTTTCAACTTTTTCTACAGCTTCAATGTTTTTACGTTTTTTATCTTTTTCATTAAAAGTAACATGATTTTCGTCTTCAAACAATGCCATGGTTGGACTACAAACAGAATTTTTAAAAATAATATAGATACAATTAAGTTATTGCAATTGTCACGTGTATTGTTGAAGTTATGATAATTGATAATACGGTATATAAACAATAAACATGATGCTATCACATTACACTAATCTATTCTGTGATGTTATCACAAAACAGTGTTGTTAAAATCTTGGTTCATGAAGTTTCAAATCGTTGATATAAAATTAATACCATAAAACTATTATTATTATTTTAAAATAGCGGTTTCGTAATCGACCAGCCAAAAGATCATCCTCATAAAATACATTCCCAAATTAACTGTAGTATTGAAAACAATTATTTCAGTAATTTTTTTCTTAAGGTTATCAATTGTTTAGGGTTAAACTACAGATTAAATGGAGATGTAATCTTCGGACTAGTTGTTGAATTGTATTTTTTTTGCTGATAATATAATTCTTCCAATGGTCAATTTTTTATTTTAGTGATTCAACACGTGGTTTTAACATATTTTCACTATTTCAACTTAATGTATTATTTAATTCTTGATTAATCCAATAATCTCGATTATCCATTATTTTATAATATATTTTTCTCACAATGGCGTTTACTGATAACTTGGGTAATTTTTATTTTTATTATATATTTGTATAAGTCAACATTTCAGATATTAATTTATTACTTGGATTATAATTGCATAATCCCTTTACCTGAATTAATAGAATGAACCAGGAATGTAATTTAAAATTTCTTATAACAGAGGTTGACATTAATCTTAAATATAAGTTGTTAGAGATTATTATTTATATGTTTTACTATTTATGACTCAATTATACATTGGATAAGTACTTGTCTAATCCAGTAGAAATATTTTATTGCAGTTTTATAGGACGATAAACTCTATTTTTTTAACTATACGTTTAATATAATTTTAAATTCTTTAAAAAATAATGTGACAGAAATTTTTTTTTTTTTGAGAATAAATTTTTTCTTATTAAGGTTAAACAAAAATATTTTAATAAATTTAATCTGTATTCATTTATATGATAATTATTAAAGGTAATTGATTACAAGGCTGGACGGTTTGATTAAAGGGTGTGACCAAATATAACATTGCTTACAATTCTTGACTTTTTTTTTATTAAATTAATTTTAATTTTTTTTTAAAGTTGAGGAGATCCTTTGGCCAGTTAAGCATAATATGGCATGGAGATTATTAGGAAGCAGTGTTTAGAAAGAATGTGGTTAGTGCAACATTTCTCAAAGTTTCCCAAACCCTAAGGTTCCGTGGGACAGTTTTCAGGGTTCTACCAGACATATGTGATTATTGAGAAACTTATTTTATATTATATTTGGAAAAAGTATTATTTTATATCATTTTAAAAAAATTGTGTTTTAAACTAATTTTAATAAAGAGTAATCATTACAAACATTTTTTTAGAAAAATTAGAATTGAACTGAAATGGTTCTGCGAAATACAAACTATTTTTTAAGGGTTCCGTGATTGTAAAAGTTTAGGAACCGCTGGATTAGTAAACGTATGTACACATTCAAATTTTGTAAATGATATTCGAATGTCCCTCACTTTATCAAATAGAACGTGTACAACATTTATATTTTTAATGAATAAAAACCATTTTTAGGGCATTCAAATTTACTTACCATTTTAAAAATATATGTATAAATAATAAATATTGGTTATAATACAGTATAAGTCTTAAAATTAAAGTAACATATACCTAATACATTTTATAAAGGTCCTATTTATAAAAATAAGTAAGTGATTCTTAAATATATAATAAAAAAAGTTTTTATTATTATCCTTAAAATTAGAACTTTTTAACTTGACTGATAACTATTTAAGAATATCCTCTTAATCTTACAGTATAAAATGCTTTTTTTTCAGCTCTCATCAGTGTATCAGATAAAACAGGATTGTTGGATTTGGCAAAAAGTTTGGTAGATGCTGGTTTCAAATTGTTAGCAAGTGGTGGAACTGCATCTTTTATTGAGAATGACGGAAAATTACAAGTTACAAGTGTTTCTGAATTCACTGGTGCACCAGAAATACTTGGAGGACGAGTAAAAACTTTACATCCTGCCATTCATGGAGGTAATTATACATGTTAATTATAAAATCTTATATGATTGTATTTTTTTAATTCATGATAATTTTAAAATATAGATGATTATTAATTATTACTAATTATTAATAATTAATTTTTTTAAATAAAAAAATATTAATTTATAATTAATTATAAAGGTAAATATAATTATAATTAATATAAAATATTTATTATATTTATATTATAAAATAAAGTTTTAATATCTAACTTAAGTAAAATAATGTAGGTACCTAAATTATGAAAATATGGAAAAAAAATACTTCATTTAAATTTATGATAATTTGAATATGAAATTATTTTATTTATTTTTTTTTGTTTTTATGGAATATTTTTAGATATTTTAAAAAAATGTATTGTTAATGTAATTTAATATACTAAAATATACTTTAATTTTAGGAATACTGGCTCGTTTAACACCAGCTGACCAAAATGATTTGAAGAAAAATAATTTCAGTTTTATAAAGATAGTAGTATGTAACCTATATCCATTTGAAAAAGTTGTTACTCTATCAGATACTAAAATTGAAGATGCTGTTGAAAATATTGATATTGGAGGTGTAACACTTTTGCGGGCTGCTGCAAAAAATCATGAACGTGTTACTGTTCTTTGTGATCCTGCTGATTATTTGGAAATAGCTAAAGAAATATCATTGACCAAAGATACACTTTTAGAAACACGTAAAAAATTAGCTTTAAAAGCATTTACACATACTGCCATATATGATGATTGCATATCAGATTATTTCCGGAAGAAATTTGCCTGTGGAGAAAGCCAAATGAGTTTAAGATATGGGATGAATCCTCATCAATCTCCAGCACAGCTTTTTATAACGGAAACAAAATTACCACTTAAAGGTTTGTAAATTGTTTATTAGAAAATTATTCTTTATACATTTTTATCTATTATAATTTACTATAACTGTTTATAAAAAAATTATAATTAATATTTAATTGATTTTTGTAGTAATTAATGGTTCACCGGGATACATTAATTTATGTGATGCTTTTAATAGTTGGCAACTAGTTAAGGAACTCAAAGAAGTTACTGGTCTTCCAGCTGCTACTTCATTTAAACATGTCAGTCCAGCAGGAGTAGCTTTAGGCATACCATTAAATAAGATTGAAGTAAAACTATTGAAATAGTCTTTAACTATTCTGTAAGATTAATGAATGATGGATTTTAGGCACAATTATGTATGGTTAGTGATCTACTTGAAATAATGACTCCACTTGGATCAGCATATGCTCGTGCTAGAGGTGCTGATCGTATGTCTTCATATGGAGATTTCATTGCTTTATCACACCCTTGTGATTTAGTTACAGCTAAAATAATTTCTAGAGAAGTAAGTTATTTTATTTAATTATAATTTTATACTCAATTAATTTTAAATAATATTAAGGTCTCTGATGGTATAATTGCTCCTGGATATAGTGATGAAGCTTTAAATTTGCTAAAGAAAAAGAAAACTGGAAATTATTGTGTTTTACAAATAGATCCAGCCTACTCACCTAAATCTGTTGAGCGTAAAGTTTTGTTTGGAATGACACTAGAACAAAAACGTAATGATGCAAAAATCAATGAGAATCTTTTTAATAATGTTGTAACGAAAAGACAAGACGTAAGCTACCTTATATTAATAAAATATAATTTATTCAACTATTAATTAAATACAAATAAATATATTTTGATGTAGATAACTGAAGCAGCTATCCGTGATTTAATTCTTGCTACAGTAACATTAAAATACACACAGAGTAATTCAGTATGTTATGCTTATAAAGGGCAAGCCATTGGAATTGGAGCTGGACAACAATCTAGAATTCACTGCACTAGATTAGCTGGTGATAAAGCTGATAATTGGTGAGTACATTTATTCTATTTCATTAATTAATTAAAAAATAATATTGATTTATTTGCTTGGTTATTTTATAGGTGGCTCAGACAACATCCATTGGTCTTAGGTATGCAATTTAAAAAATCTATTAAAAGAGCTCAAATATCAAATGCCATTGATGATTATATTGGTAACACTATTGGTATTGGCCTGTCTCGTGCGAGATGGGAAAGTATGTTTGAAGTAGTTCCTGCTGAATTAACTTCAGAAGAAAGACGTTCCTGGTCTAAAAAATTGAAAGGTGTCGCTTTATCATCTGATGCATTTTTCCCATTTAGTGATAATATTGAAAGAGCTGTTCAGGTAAGTAACACAATTATATAAAAAAAATATGTTTATGTAACTAAATATTAATGTATTTTTTAGAGTGGAGTTGAGTTTATTGCTTGTCCATCTGGCTCAACAAATGATCAAGAAGTGATAGACTACTGCAATGAACAAAATATTATATTGGCCCACACTAATTTAAGATTATTCCATCATTGAATTGGTGACAAGTTTCTTTAAATTTTAAATTTTTTACTAAAAATTAAACAATGTAATTTTAATTAAACTATATGTTCATTGGTTGCATATGTGATTAATACTGAGTAGTTTAAATACATTGGACTGTTTCTAGCATATTTTAATGTTTTATCCATACAAACAGAATTACTACACAAAAAAGAACTTTCCCTTAATATTCTCTATAGCTTTTTCTTACTATTAACAATGATGAGAACTAATATTAATAAATTAAATAATTTCAAATTATAAAAATATAAGAGTAATTAATATGCTACGGTTATAATGTTTTTACATTGATTCTATGACATTTAGTTTAATATTCTTACCTTTTAAAGTTATTTAAAAAATATGGGGTTTTACAATAGATAAGACTTGAAGGAAAAACTTGTGCTCAAAACTGTTATTCAAAAAAAAAAAAATGCCTAATTGGATTCAGTTCCTTCAGAATATTGAAAATATGCTAAGCATCACATTAAATTTAAAAAGGCCATTTTAGTTCGGAATTAATTGCATTAAGAATTAGTGGGACTACTTTATCAATGATAACAGTAAATTTATAATGAAAATATTTTTACTTCAGTTTTGAAATTACTGATTATCATTATATTAAACATTTATATATATATATATATAAATTAATATCGAATTACTTGGTTATGATCAATAAACACCATGCTTTTATTTAAATTTAATTTAATGAAATTGTCTATAGAATTGGCTAACTCTAAACCTCTTTTGAAAACAACTCGGAGACTTAGAATTGCATTCAATATAGCATAATATGTATGAAAAGAATATTTAATGTAATTTTTTTTATTATAACCTTGGTTATTATAGATGTAATTTCCTTCAACACCGGTTGTAACAAAAACATGGAAACTTTTAAGTATAACATATTTTTTTTAGATACAATTATACCTAAACAAAGTCATAACAATTCAATGACCATAAATTATATTTTGTACATTTCATATTATAATTTTGTATACATAACATGAATCATACTACATGAGAATATTAAATTAGCACATCTTTATTACTAACTAGATGCATTAAGCGAAACATCAACAATCTGTAACATATTATTCTATATGACAAATTATTTTTTAATTTCTCACATTTTTAATTGCTTCTATCACAGCATTTATTTTAATAGTAACATTTACAATTGTTTTTTTTTTTTTTTTTTTTAGATACTTTACTACTTAGTACAAATTTATTCAAAAATTTTTTGATTTATAAATAATTAAATTTTAAGTAGTTGAGTATATTTAAGCATTTATCATAGCCAGAGGTTTATGACCTAATGAGTTGATCTCTAACGATGATTACATATTTGAATTAAATAAACGACATATTTTATTAATTTTAGTGAGATAGTTAAACCATATTTTTTTATGGTAATCTTAGAAATATTTTATCAATACTAATGGGACATCATAATGTACATTCCATTTTATGCCCAATACACTTTTATTTACAGCCTAGATGCTCATAATCATCTTTAATTTTTTACAATTTAATTCCAATCAATATGAATAACAAGGAGAAAAATGTTTTTCAAGTTAAAATAACTGGATCCTTAAGGGTTGATGTTTCAATACACATAGATGAAATATTTATGAATATCAAATTCCTAACTGGATAAAAGAAACCCAATATTTGCCTTAATAGTTCAAGGTAATTTCCACAACAGAATTTTGAAGATTTATACTTGATAATATTTAGTTTTATTGAAGTATATTATAATGAAATAATTATTCTAACTTTAAATAATTTGTAGAGGGACAATAACAATATATGCAAGTTAAAAAATTATATTTAACTAGTCATTATATAATTTATGAAAAGGATAAGTCTTATTTTTTTTTTAAATATCTTCATTTATTACGTTTTATAGAAAACATGTAACATTGGTACTGAAGCCATAACTGATAACAGCAAAAAACATTAAATTGAGACAAATTTACCAACAGATTCTAAAAATTGCATAATAAAAAAGGAATAAATAAATGGATTCTACAATAAGTATTTATTCTATTTATATATCTGTGAAATATACAAAATAGGAAAAACCAAAAAAAAAAAAAAAAAACAGTGTTCCGACCTAGGCGTTTAATACGTCTACAATATGAGGCAGTTTTACATAAACACCTAAGTGCTGTCTTATAGTTATTATCTATTTTATAACAGGTAAATTCCCTATCAAGATGTATTTCACAGACAACAGTCTTTCGTAATTCTTCCGGTCGTGCCAATTTTGAATAGAATTAAAAATTCCAAGTTGGTTTAATATTTTGGGATGTTTTTATTTTTGGTTAATGAATGACGAAAGACATCGTGAGACGACTTAGAAAGCAAACAACAATAAGAAAGCCATCATAAGACAGAAGAGACCCATAGCTTCAGACAAAGCAAATCCCAAAATGGCATAAGAGAAAAGCTGTTGTTTGAGTGATGGGTTACGTGCATAACCAATAATCAGGGAACCAAATACTGTTCCAATTCCAGCTCCTGGAAAAAAAAATAATAAAATCAAAATGTAAATAGAATTTGTATAAAATAAACTCCATTAAAAATATAAATTTAATAGTTTACATCAAGCAACCAAGCAAAATTTAACAGAATATTTGGTAATTCAGTATTGATAGACAATAAAAAACTAAATATTAATGGATTTTGAGTAGTAAAGAACAAAAACGAAATAAGTTCATAAAATATTTAATAATTTGCCAATAAAGCAATTAATTAAAAAAAATTTGTTTTAACTTACATTTTCAGCATGCTTCATTTGAAAAAAATTCTTCCAAAAAAATAACCTTCCAAAATTCAAACACCATGCTAAAGCTAGTTATTTGCATAGCAATTAAATTATGAAAGCTAATCTATTAACAATAAAATGCACTAAAACCAATTAGCAACGCATTCATATATTTTATCCATATAATCAAAAATAAGTAAAAATATTTCAGAGTATGAATGCAAATTTAATTATATTCAAATAAATAAAATTAATACAATAGATTAATTTCAGTAAAATTAGGAATTATAAAAATTACTTAAAATTTTTAAAAGATTTTTAAACTTGAGATTTATAATAACTGGTTGCATTTGTCTCTTGACTGTAAATACTAAATAAATTTTCAAAGTAAAATTTATAGTAGATCAATGATCAACCTTTTAAACTTAACAATGAAAAATATTAATTTCCCCATTAAAACCCAAATAACAACATAAATGCAACCATAATACACATGAGGCCCATTGCTTCTGCAAGAGCAAATCCTAAAATTGCATAGGAAAAAAGCTGTTGTTTTAATGATGGATTTCGTGCATAAGCTAACAATAAGCAACCAAAAACCATTCCAATTCCAGCACCTATAGAGTGAAAAAAGCAAACAAGCATACACAAAATACAAAAATAATAAAAAAAAAAAACTTCAATTACAATTATTATTTTTAAAAAATGTTTATACCTTGAATATAAAAACAAGCAAGCAAAAAACAAATATAGTATAAAAAGCACAAAAAGGCATTTATATCATCACATTCTCATACTTCAAATTTAATTTAGCTTTAAATACCTGATCCAGCAATTCCTACAGTGGCTGCACCAGCACCAATAAATTTGGCAGCAGAATCAATATCTCTGGATACAGCAGAGGTTTGGAATCCCCTGACAGCGTTCACCTGATTTATTACATATTAAATATAAACATAAATATTAATAGTTCGAATGGCTATATGTATGAAGTAAGTATACCAAGCTTCCATTGGAAACAATGGCACTGGGAGTTTGTTGGTTTTGATGTTGCAATTGGGTGTTTGGTCCATTTGAAACAATGCTGCTAATAGGCCTGACATAAGCTCTGGAGTTGGAGAGGATCTGTAAATACATTTAAAAAATATTTAGAAATGTGTTAATTTGATTCAAAATCTCTCAAGAAAATGCAATTAAAAAAGAGTACTATTTATTATATACAAAAATTTCAGATTTAATACACAAGTATTAAAATATTTATCTTGATAAAAGATTTTTTAAAAATATATTTTAATCACAACTATGTAAAATTAGTATAAAAAATGCAGTAATGTATAAATTAATTTTTAACATAACATTAAAATTCTAAAAAGGAATAGTTACAGTAAAGAATTAAATATAATACACTTAGCATGTTAATAATAAGTATTCCTCTTTTTGATAAATTATTAAAATACTTCATCTGATAAATTCTTGAGTAATCTATACAATTTCTCAGATTGAATACATAGAAACACAACACCACTTCACTTATTTGAAATTTAAACTTATTTAATTTAAAAACTAATACAACAAATAAATTTTAAATTATATTTATTTATAATATTTAACTATTTATTTTTTAAATCAGAATAAAATTAAGAACCATATTAAGTTAAAAAACGGAATATCTCTGTATATAAATATATGCTGTTATTTGGAAGTTAGATCAATCAGCCTACACTTTTTGAAAAACCAGCAACCTTGTGTTCACCTTCATTGGCCACCAATGCTCTTTAACCTCAATAAAAAACTTTTAATAGACGCGGATGTAATTCACACTCCGAAACGAATACAAATTTGGCACAAATAATCTTTTTCCAAATACATGAGCCGCTCTAGTATTCAATTACTCGTAACTACTACACACAAGATATGATATAATATACTTACGGCGGAGCGTACAGCTGGGGCGACGGCTTTGGCTAAGGAATACATGATTTATGTGGTTGTTAATTTGTTGTGGGCTAACTGGAGTGTTGAAAACTGAAAACAAAAAAATAATTGACGATGAACATCGTACAAAAAAAAACGAAGAAAAAAATCGATTAACCTCGTGCTGACCGATTTTTAACCTTTGGCAAGGGCAAACACGAGGGGGTAGTTTGAGTGTGAAATGGAGCGTTAAGTTCTGGAGAACAAAAAAAGCGGTAAGAAATTTCACCCATGTAAAACTGAGTGGTAACAAAACACGGAAAAAAATTTGACGTTTTAGGCGTGACCCGAAAGTTACAAGATGGCGGACGTGGAGGAGTGAAACGTAGAATTTATCGGGAGAAATTTCTGCAGACCGATGAACAAGCATCGTGTGGTTGTGCGTATGCTAAAAGGGAAAAGTACCTAAATATATTCGGAATGTTAACAACGGGAGTTGAAGATAAAAAATAAACAATTAAAGTTTTAATTCCGATGTTGTACTTACCGAATGTGAAGCCGTACAGACAAGCGACGGTGAGAAAGAATGACAGACAAACGAGACAAGACGGACACGACTATGACCGACCGGGTTGTGCGGCGTTGCGGCGGCCCGGAGTGCCGCTCACTCACCAACCAATAGGAACCGTCAGTGCATATGAGCGCGGCAACGTTGCCACCGCACTGGTCAAAATTCCATCAGCGAGCAAACAGCTGATGACAGTGGTTACCGAGTAACCGTGGTGACAGGCCGGCCGGCTAGTGCCAATAATCCCTCCAAAACCATTTCGTTTTCAAATATTTTCGATTACATTTACACTCATTTATCTTACGACACACTAAAAAATTAAAATACAAACAATGATAAATTACCACTGAAGTATAAACTAAATTATAACCATTAAAAAGCAACTTTTTTAAGTTCTAGTTTCATTTCATTGCTTTCGGCTTATAATGTAGTTAATATGCTTGTATACTTGTATAATTGTCAATAAAATGTATGTTCTATACGTTTATTCAACGTATGTTTATCACATTTGAAATTATTGAAATAACTTTTTTACTGAATATATTTCTTTCTATACTATATTTAATATTTTAAAACAAAATAAATTCGGTGAAGTTTAAGGTAAAAACTTAAATCATTATTATAATATTCTTATTGGAAATATTTTTAATCAATATTATATTATTTTACTGTGAATAGGTAGTTTTAAGTTAATAAATCTTTATAAATCTTGATTCTTAATATATCATATAACATAATATAACATAAGCTATGTAGCGTTCACAGGTTTTCCAAAAACTCGTACAGCTAAAACTATGATGCAGTGTTGTCCTGGTTCTAAAGGGCCCAGGCAGGATTATATTTAGAAGGGCCCCAATTCCCATACTACAAAATTTATTTATTATACTTAAATTAAATAAATAAATAAATGTAAAATGGTCATTAAAATGTAATACATATAGATTCTATATTTGTCATTTTAAATAAAAAAAAAGTTAAAAATTTTCTAAATCTAAAATTACCGTTACGTATTCAACTTTTATAAAAAAAAAAAAAACATGAATGTATAAAATAAATTCATTTAATATATTATATAAAAAGTCTTGTCATTTCTTTTGACAATTTTGCTATGTCATCTATTAGTTTTATTTTATCTACATTCAGAGTAATATCTTTTTCTATAGCCATAAGCATTAGTGGTTCTAAATTTGGCTGATCGAGTGACGATCTTAATTTTGTTTTTATTACTTTAAACTTAGAATATCCTTTTTCATAAGTGACTTGAGTTAATGGTAATAGCATTATATATTTAAAAACTTGTTACAAATTGTAGTACATACCATCATAGGCGGTACTATGGTAGGAGCAAGGTAGGCGGCTGCACCCTTGCGAGTTCTTACTTACCCTATACATTTCAAATATTGGTTGGAAACCCCTCATATTACATGCTTATTTAGAGTCTGCATGGTTGTAAGTAATAATATTATTATCTACAACCATGGGAACCATTCAAGTAAATATGCTGATAAGATTTTTGCCTCAACATTTTCAATATTATTATAATTTATTTTTATCATTGACAAATCATGAACCAATATTATTACTTTATTATTATCTGTATCACAAACGTTTTGCATGATTTTATACTTTGATTTGAAATGTGTATTTTATTCAGTATTCTTGAGTTTTTTGGATAATACTAATTATAATAAAAATTATAAACACAAACCAAAGTAAAAAAATAAAAATTTTATATGACTTTGTCATACAAGAACCATCATAGGTGGCTCTACGGGGTGTGCCGTGTGTCCTTTGGTACACCCTAATGTGAATAATGCGAATAAAAAAATTAATCATTACAATTGAGAATATATGTGCATATACATTAATTAAATTTTAGATTTTATAAGTAATATTGCAAGTGTTCAGAATAAGTCTAAAATAATAATTACGCGTATATTTCGTTATTTTACATCATTAACGGAGCCTTTATTTTTAGAATTTAAATCATAACATGGTCTACAGATACGTGTTTATAGCCTTCCTTTTATATTTTGAAAAAATAACCAAAAAATGACAGGACACACTCAGGTAAATTGTGGTAAGTTATTATTTTAAAATTTTAAAAGATAAAATAAAATAAATGTAGGTAATTGTAAGTGTATTATTCATTTTACAAAATAATCTTATTTGAAATAAGTTGAAATAGTTATTAATAAAATACTTTTTTTATAGTACTTATACTTATAATATATAATATAAGTCTATGGTATTGCTACTCTAAAGATTTAGAAGAAATAGTGTTAATATTTTACTTAAAGTATTTCCTGCCCCCGCTGCCAAGAAGGTCTAGTACCACCTATGCATATCATCAGTCCCATATTTAGACATTTTGCGCGCCGGCTTAAAAAAAAAAAAAATTTGGCGCCCCTATATGGGGTCCACCCACGGAAAATATAGGAGATAGATCCTCAATGAACTTTTTAGATATTCTAAAATCAATGGTATTTTTGTGTAGTAGGCATCTATTATATATAGATAGAATTGTATATCGAAAATAAATATCAGAAAATTATATAAATGCGTTGTCATAAAAATTATTTTGGGCTTATTATACTATCATATTGTAATGAAGGGTATAAGAAAAAGTCTACTCGAAATTGACAAAATTACGAAAAAAATTATTGAACAAAAGAGTAAAAGAGTTATGCTCCAGATATACTAATCTCGGAAAACAAAATTATTATATAGCATATATTTAGCATAATAGAATAATAGTAGTTAAAAACATGACTGAAACAGATTTCTCTACACACCTACATTGATGTAAGACTTGTACCTTAAAATATTCTGTAGTGCGTACGATAAGATAAATTACTATACATGTCTTAAACTCTTGACCTTAATAATTAATTGTTTGTGCACTAGCTGAGGACAAAATTATTGCGATTGCAATTCAATGGAATTCGATTGTTACAGTAAATTGGTAATAATATTAATTCAAATCGTTGTATTTATGTACTTTAATATATTTTATATACTTTACCTTGTAATCTCAAGTCGTATGACGATGTACTTGGCAAGAATGAGTGAAATTTATCGACTTGTTTCAAAAATCGAGGTTTTAAAATATTATTTCCTATTTGATTTTTCTATACACCCGAGATATTATTATGTGAATGATGATCATTTCAAACTTTTGAACGTTTCATATGAAATTCTAATATATTTATATTAGATTGTTAACAATGTTGACGTTTTGCACTGATTTAATTTTTTTATTATTAATGTGATTTACAAGTTAGTACTTACATAAAATAAATAACCACAATATAATTACATTTAGAAGTAAAATAATAGTAAAAACGTTTTGAAACATATAAGTAAAACCTAAAATACGAAAAATATATATTTTACGTTTGTTGTTTCAAACTTTAGTTGATAAGGGAAAAATTATGCATTCAACTCGTAAGCTAATGAAAAACGTGAAATCCTGTTAAAAATGTTGACGTCTACAACCCAACCCCCCGCACCCAGATAAATCGAAGGAATCGATTATGTTTGGAACGTCAACGTTCAAACACGTCTGCTCGTGTCTATATCTTGCGGTAACGTCATCGTCATCGGAATAAGAACATATGAAAATTGACGTAGGCCAAAGCTATTTGACTTTCCGATAATATTCGATGGGTCGTCCCCACCGATACTACGGCGCGTTTGCTGGTTGAGGTCAACGCGAGCGCAGCCACCAGTGAGACCCAAAGTGCAAATACAGGTCGGTCGATCGCCGCGGCTTCCATTGGAGAGAAATACATGATACCTCATCCGTCTGCGATGCCGAGGCGTTCTGGGAAGTAAGAGGTGCTATTCACGATCAACGGACGACGCGAGCCGCCGAACGAAAATACAGCGCGTACGCCTCCCGTCCGACGACGATATTAATAATATACATATAATATAATTGTCGTTCAAACGGGTACTAGTCGCAACGTTGTGCCCGAAGACCGTGCAGAACCCGACCAACGTGGACCTGTCAACGTTTTCGTCGTAGTTCCACGTTATCTCGCCAATGTTCGATTCCGAACGTTTTGACCAACGCGTTACGCGCCAATCGCGTCAGTGGCATTGAGACGGGAACAGCTGCTGTGCGTGCGGTGTGCAGGCGCCCGGCACCGCGTGCCGGGAGTGGGGGCACGCACTCCGGTAGTGATCAGCTGATAATCATACTGTTAACACCCAGGCCCTTGTGACTTTCGTTCAGCTGCTGGATAAATGGCCGTATTTCTGTTAAACGAATGTAAATTCAACAACTGCGGCCTGTGTTTCAAAAACCTTTACGATCTCATACAGCACATCGAAGACAATCATATAGGTAAATTTTTAGACAACGTACACACGCCCACCCACACACGTTATACCGTCCGGCACTGTCGACTCGTCGTCGGCCGGGCTGGCGGGCTGCCGACTCCCGTGGGAAACGTGTTATATCGTATTTTTATTTTATTTTTTATTTTTATTTTTTTTACTATCAATTTTTCAACTCGCCAACTCGACGTGACCTTTCCGCGTACTATTATTACCCGGACCCCGTGTCCCGTCGAACTATTAGAAATGGTGACCTAATTGTAGTGCTTCGATTTAAATTTAGATCGTCCCCCCCTCAAAGGATTTGGATCCGTGTACTTCGTTTTCTTGATTTTTCGAGAGCAGCGGTTCGTCTTGTTGCAAACTTTTGACTAGCATCGATTTTTCTTATTTGTTCAATTGACCAAGTCTGCTTCCAATATATTTTTAGTATATTTTTTAAAATATATTTAATTGAAAATTGTTTGTCCAATATTATTAACGTTTACTGTAGTGATTAATTGATATTGATACTGTTACAATTTTCTGATATTTCAAACATTTTCTTTCAATCAACATTTGAAGTTGTAGCTGCCTATTTTTCAGTTGATTGTACATTTAATTATTGATTGAAACAGTAAACAGTTCTGATTTCATCATAAGGGTGTATTTATCAAATAAGTGTAAAAAATTTGTTAGTACTTTCATTTTCTAATTATTTTAATACCTAATGACCATTTTTAGTTAATATACTAAAATAAAAATGCATCATGTTATGGAGCTTATTGATAAATAATTGTAATGTAAATTAAAATTTGTACCTTATAAAATATATTACAAATATAAATTATATCTTTACAATTACTATTTCAATATATTGGCATTAGTATTTGACCAATTAAATTATACCAAGACCCTCAGAAATTTATTTTCATGTTTAAAATGTTAAGGTTCTAAATTTTAAAACATGAACTGATAAATAATAAAAGCTGCTGTAATTTTTATGACAAAAGCAAATTAAATAAAAAAAAAATAATAATAAAAACAAACATTTTAATTTGTTTGAGTACATATTTACATATTCATAATTGTTTTGGCATAAATATATTTAATGAGTATTAAAATGTGAAAAATCAAATACATTTAACCTGAGTAATATATGTTGTTTTTAATACAATATTAATTTATTTTGCAGTTAGTTTAATAATAAATGTTCTACTAATATACTTTGTTTATAATCTTATAGATTTAATAAACAAATTATAAACTATTATTATAAAATTTAAGCTGTATAAAAAATTAAAGAATTGCCTTGTCTGATTGTTTCTTATAATTCATTTTTATTAAAAACCATTAAAAATGTATTATTATTCATTATAATGTATAATGTATTTTTATAATAATATAATAAATTGTTGAGATTTGTCTCTTATACTTAAGTAATTCATGTAAAATGAATGCTTAAAGCATTGTAAGTTGTATCATTATTTAATCTTTAACTAATGTTTTATTAATATTTCGGATGTTTAGATTTGTATAATATTCATTTGGATTTGACACATAGATACTGATCCAAAACCAGTTGAGCTGATTGATCGCACTGAACAACAATGCTTGCCGCTCAGTTGTGTTATGCGGTTTTTCAGCGAAAATGTCGACAAAACAGATATTGTCGCAGCCGAACCTGTCATACAGCCCAAAACCAGTATTTTACCATCAGCATCCAACATATTTCATCGACCATTACGAACTGGTACTTAAAAATTTGTTAATGTTTGTTCAAGATGTATTTGTATTAAATTATAATTTTTATTTTTATTCAGGATATGAATCTGATAAAGGAGAAGCTGAAAGTATCGATAATATAGGTGATAGCAGTGATTCATGGTCTACTACATCAGATGCAGTTGATGATGCTCATAAAAACGGTCTCAAGTAATATAAAATTATTATGACCAAATAAGTTAAAACTACAGTATTATATTATATATATAATATATAGGTTAATATTAATGTTAATACTTTTAGTTCACAACAGAAAATTAAAACTGAACAACCAATAAGACCTTTTGCTTGCCCAGTTCCTGGTTGTACTAAAAGATATAAAAATGTCAATGGAATTAAATACCATGTGAAAAATGGACATACCAATGGAAAGTAAGTTATTTATATCATATTTTTCCAAACATAAAGTGAATGGTACTTATATTCTATACAATTTTCTAGAATTCATAAGAAGTACAAATGTCACTGTGGAAAAAGTTATGTATCTATTCAAGGACTAAAATCGCATGCAAATGGTATGCATGCTGGCACTAAGATGACATGGCTAACTATGCACAATGGTGAAACTATTCAAGTACCTGCCACTCCACTTTCTCCAGATACAGTACCTATGCGTGCAGTTACATTGAAACATGTGCCTCGCACCACAGCAGATGCAAACTTACCACCCAAAACTTTAGTCATCACTAAACCTCCTCCGTCCAACATAGAACTTCCCATTGTTGAATCGTAAAAATAATGTTGGTGGTTTAAAAATTGTATTCCTATATAGTTAAAATTACCAGGAGTTCCAAATGTCAGTCGTCATATTAAATGTTTTGTCGCTTGATTATTATTATTATTATTTTTTTTTTTTTCATTGAAATTTAACTATTTAGATCACTATACTTATGCAAACGTTGTTATAATAAATTATATTGATTTTTTTTTTTTTTTTTTGTTAAAAACATATTTAGTACAGTCTTGTGTAGTTGGATGAGTTTTTAAACTCGTGTATTCATATATGTTATATGTCAAGATGTGTATAGTGTATGTTACCTTAAAGACTTTTGATTTCTGTAAAGAGTCAAAAATTGTTAACAATGAAGTTATATATTTAAAATGAATAATAAATAAAATGTTAATATTTTTGTTGTATTTATTCATTTTTGTGCCAAAAAGTATCAACAATTACAACAAAAAAAATTTCAATTATTTTTTTTATTAATATAATGAAAAAGAATAAGTATGTTAATTTGGATCAATCTGAAAGGTTGAAAATAATAAGATATAAATTTATTTTGCTGTGGATATAATAAATTTTAGTAAATCTTATACCTGCGAGTAAGTTTGAAAGAATAATCTTTAAATAACTTAAAGAAACATCTATCTATAGGATTGGCTCAGCACCATTTGTAATATGAAAGAAACAATTTTGACAATTGATCATTGATCTCAATAATCAAGATTTACATTTAATACTTGATTATATGTTGTCAAATTTTCATTAATAATTACTGCAATTATTAATAAGTAGTCTACTTTACAACATTCATTCAGTGACATTTTCAAAATTTTACAGTAAATAAAATAGTTTTCCTAGCAACCAACTTTGAGATACTGTCTTTTTAAATATATTTTGAATTATAAATTTTGATTTAATCATTAAAAAAATATGGAATTTGTATTATATTTTTACATAAGATAATATTAATAAAATAATTTTGAAATTTAATTAGTGTTTTTTTAATTAAAACTGCAATTTATTTGTTAATAATTCATAACTGCCTTGGTCCAAAGTCTTATTATCAGAGGTTATCAACATTGATTTTGGTACATACTTTTCAAGCATTTATTAATCTTGCGTCCTGTATGCAAAACCTTTAACACTGAGCATTACAAAATCTGTAATCATTTTTTTTTCAAATAACCTTATCACAATAATATTCAACATTCCAGCTTAGTTATCCTGTTTATATAAAATTATGCTTTATGATGTTTATTATTATTATTTTCATTATAAATTCTTTCCCAAAGTGCAATTGCTCTAGACATGTATCAGATATATGATGTATTAGAAACATTTGGCAAATTTTTTTTTAATTAGTAATTGATTATTTTATTGGACTTAAAACTGAGTGTTATAAGTACTTTACATATAGATACTACAATCATTTTTATATAATATTATTAATACGCTTTACCTATAAAACTATTTGTATTTTGTAAAGTTTTTTAAAAAAAATTTGATGACCTTTTGTCATTGCATTGTAATATACAAAATTTAATTTTGTGTAAGCTAATGATTATTTAATGTTCAACATCTGTAATCATTGAATAAACAAATAAAACCACTAATATGGTCAATATAACAGATAAAAACTAACATCAATATATTAAGCTTTGTTGATTTATCTGACTGTTAAAAGTAATATCAATATAGTATACAAAACAATAATACTTGAGATAAAGAGAAAATTGAAAAAAAATAGATAAAATAATATAACTTTGATATTTTTAGAGTAACTCTGTATCAAAACTTTAAAAAAGTATATAAAATATGTTTAACTTTTTCTTATTAAATACATTGCTGATGCTAATTACACCATTACATAATAAATATTGAATAATTTGTTCACTTTCAAAATCATAATATAAAATAAATTAACAAATGCAATAGTAACTTGATCCAAGTTTAAAATTATTCTTTATTAGCTCTAAAATAAAAAAATATTTAGAATCAAAAAGTAAAACATAAATAAATACAATTATTACTACTGTAATTCAAAACTTAATGGTTACATATCATGTATGTATATATATACTTTCTGTAGTTTTTTATTTGCATTGGATATGAAATGTTTACAAAATAAGCACACAGATTATATAATAAAAACTCTACTCAAGCCTGAAGATATATTTTCATTTATAAGTAATGTTATAATTTTTTTTTTTTTTTAACTTGTTTAAAAATATTATTTTTTTTTTGTCATCATTTTTAGCAAAGCTTGTCTCATATCATTGACCATCTGCTCCAGTTCTTCAGCTTTAACTGTCAAACGTCTGTTAATGGCTTCCAACTGACTGGCACTGCTGTTTAACTCATTCTCCTTGGCTTTTCTTGTAGCCCTCGATTTGCGTGATGCTTCATTATTACGATCTCTTAGTTGTCTATATTTGTCATCAGAAGACTGGTAATCTTCATTGGGTTTTCTATGTTTTGGATAGTCATCATCATCTGTTTGGATAGAAGCTGATGAATTACTACTACGTCGCTTACGAGACCATTGTGAATTAGGTGGTGATGTGGACTTTGCAATCTTAGGTGTAGATACTTCAGATAAATTGTCATTTTTTTTTTCCTAAAATAAATAAAAAAATTATTAAAATATAATAATTTTATTTTTAAATTTTGACTAACTAACATCAAAAACATAAGCTAAAAGATTAAAAGCAGATTCTTGTTCTGTCAACGTTTTTACAACTTCTGGGGTATTTAAAATGTCACCACCATAACTAGTTGATTGAACTTGTTGTAATCCAACATCTAATCTGAGGGTTGAATTCTTTCTTAAAGATATGGGTTGCTTGAAAGCTGTATTCTCTAAAGGAATTATCTGTTCATTCTCAGATTCAGTTATCTTAAAGTCGTCATCATCAATTGTAAATACATTTTGTGGTGTTGAGAATGGCGCCAATAATGCAGGCGCATCAATTGGAAACATGTCTAAATACGGCTCATCTTCTCTGTACATAGTTATGTCATTAGTGCTGTTATTTGAGTTTATAATCCTGGGTGCTTGTCTACCGCATTTGTTCTTTTCTATAAATTGTAACACGTAAATATAAGTTTGAAACAATAATTTTTACAGTACTTTTCTTTTATCCCGACTACCAGACAATGCCTCGATTATAGCAGGTCTAATTTCATAATCTAGACTATACATATCAGCCAATTCAAGAGAAGGGTTTACGTACAAAACACCGTCAATATAAAAATTGTTATAAAAAAAAAAAAAAATTATACAACGGGGAAAATGATAATGTTTATATATATTATTATAAAAACTTTTCATTTCTGTGATAATAAATATTACACTATAATATATTTTATATTAATTATATAAATGCCAACTTCATGTTGGTTGAGCTTTGAAGAGGTAATCTAGATAATGAAATTGAGAATCGCGGTAGTCGGGACAACGAAGATTACTGTTTTTAGTGTCAATTTAAATGATTTAATTACCGTCGGCACACATATTTAAAAATTCATCCACTAAGCCCTCCATTTTGGTGGGTGCATCGAGCACTTGTAAACTTGAACTGCTCGCCAAGGCCGATTGATGAGTTAAGGACGGGAGCAATTGAATTTTCACGTGTGGGGTGCCGGTTTTCTCGGCAGGACATGAAGACGACACAGTTTTTGATGCAGTAGAACATGGTTGCTTGGTCTAGATAAAAACAATGTAATTTAGTAGTGTTTATTTGACTAAAGTAGTGTTCTATGAATGGATGCATACTTTTGAATTTGCTTTGGACCTTTCAAAAGTAATGGTGCTTTCGATACACAACAGTATTACCTCCCTTTTACAGGAGACAGTAGTTCGGGTTCAGCTGTTAAGAAATAAATAAATCAATAACATTTAACATAATACTTTACAAATATACTCGTACAATTATATTTTATTTTATTAAATAATAAAATACTGACTTATCTAAATTTAATAATAATTTATAATGATTTAAACTTTTGTCTGATTTAAGTTATACAACTTTCAAAAAGGAATAATACATATGTTTTTTGAAGAACTGACATTATGGGTTAGGATACAAAGTGAATATTACAAAATTATTAACTTAAAAGAGTATAAATATAATACTAGCAAAAATTGACGAAATAATGAAATAGTTATTCAATCCCATAAACTCATAATATATACACCATTGGTACGTATACAATGAGTAGGATTTCAAGGTAATTTTGCATTGAAGCATTTAATACAGTCAGTCTTATCTAATCCAAACACATTTTTGGCAAGAACTACACTATGCGCTTCACGGCGTATTTCTTTCGAGATTGTCTACGAAATGAAAAGAGCTTAGTGCCATAAAGCAGATTATTTTTACAACGTAAAATAACGATATATGTATCGTAATATCAAATTATTCGTAAATCTAAAATTACATAACTTCGCTTGCACGACAACATGGTGAATAATTTAAGTAACCAATTTAGTTTCGGCCTTGAGACCGATTTCAAGGTTGCGACTACACTCATTATATTTCATACGCAGTAGAGGATGTCGTGTTTTAACGGGCAGCGCATACGATAATTATTTAATTGTTATTTTAAAACCACGTCTCAAACGAACAAGAGATCAGATGATCACCTTCAAATACCTAGGTTCAAACCCTGTTAAATTCTTCCAACACAATGGTATTCACCTTCAGATTACATTGCGATCGGAGCAAAGTCCACAGTCCTCTCAAAACATATACACACCTATAAAAATTTTATTGCATGATCTGTACAATGCGAGGCGAGGGTTATTACATTTCCGACACCACAACAAACACGATACATTTAAATCAATAACGTTAACCAAGAGAAATGTCATAAACACGACGCCTACCTAGCCAATTTAATTTTTAAGTCACTGTCAATCAAAGATATATACGGAAGAGTGACGACAGACTGAGAGGGTTTCTCATCTTGAACCTACATTCAGGCACGCCACGCACACAGACTGAAACGCACGTAAATCATTATTTTCCAATTATTGATGTTGTTGTAAACGCAATAACTGCTTACACATATTGGAATGTTGTCGTGTTCCACTCTTCGACCCAATTTCCAGGGTTAAGATGGTACAATTCCGTACATCAAAACGATACGAACATCATAATAATAGAAACATCTACAAAACGACTGTACCTCAAAATAGAGGACACTTTTAATACTATGACTCCTCGAGACAGTCCGCTATCTAAAATACAACGAAACTACTCATCGATAGTAAAATCGAAAAAACAATTTTAAAGAAAACAAAACCGTTTTGTGTACATATATAATAGTATAGTAAATAGAAAGAGAGAGTAGTAGTTTACCGGACGTGCTTCTAAACTGCGAAGCAAATTGGTCAACTAGTAGATGAACGGGTGGTTAAGTTGATTTGAATGAGTTTGTGTGATGGAAGCGCACAATGTACATAAAAAATAAAATTAAAATAACGCATTGGAACTTACTACTACGCACAGAACGGCGAAGCGCGAACAGAAACGGCTGTGGAGCGGTAGTAGACCGTGAAAGACAAAAATATCGTTTATAATGATTGTTCGGCGTCTTGTCGGTCGGTTGTGATCAGTGCTGTTGTAAATGTACACGGACTGTAGTCGATTGCAGTACTCGAAGATTAGTGAGTAGTATTAAACACAACAAGATAGCACGCAGGACAGTGAAGTACTGCTGAACAGAGAACGGGCCAGTGATGACGATGTGGTGAGCGTGAGACCGTTGCGGGGGTCTCGGTTTCTCTCAGTAACCGTCGTCCAACGCCATTGGTCTATGATCAAATATGACGTCATTATGCACCAACCGTAGTAGTCGAAATGAAAATCGCGTGACAAGTCCTCTCTACCACCACTTCGTCGACACCAACACCACTGTCACGCCACCGATGACCGTTCGGGCAACATGTAATTACGTACGACCACTACCCGCCAGCCGTTTGCTCGTTTCTCGTGCGCAGTGTGCGTGACACGGCGGCCGGCGTCCGTTAGTCGCCGTCATTACCCGTCTGCTTGGTACGTGTTTCACGTGTTATGTAATCGAATGATAATACACACGGTGAAAAATATGTGGTTGTATATCTTTTGACGAACGTTTCGCTAGATCTCTAGAACTCTTTCACTCCATACCTGGCGAACCAACAAATCCGGCCTAATGCGTATGTGCGGTTTATTCTCCAGATACGTGTATAATACGTGTACGTGTATATACATGTCTCGATCGAGAACTTTCAAGGACGATAATTATCTGAACCCACTATTATATTATAAATACCATGTAGGTATCTACTTTACGGATAGGAACTCGTTAAACTACCTATAATGAGAAAATATTAAATAAAGCAGCCTCGCTACAAAACTGGGATAATAATTGTAAATTATAAGCGGTCTGCTAAAACGTTTGGATAAAATATGTGGTTGTGGGTTTATATGTTTAAATTGTAGTGACGAAAAAATATTCTCGTCCATCCACTGTATATCTCAAAAAATAAATAGGTTTAAACAGGCGCGTAAACAAGGGAGATTTTAGGGGTTCAAACCCCTCCCAAAATTCAGGAAAATGATATTAAATACGTTTTTATATAGTAAAATTGGTATATAGATGATATTCTTATGAAAATGTACAACCTAAAACCCCTCCCAAAATATTTTTTTGTGTACGCACCTGGATCTAAACAATAGACGTACGACTAAGTGTTATATATCAATGAATACCTAGAAGTATTACTGATGGGGCGATAACGTGCAAAGAAACCGACTATACTTAACTATACGTCGTCCTGTGGGATGGATATATATATATGTATGTATGTATGCAGAATATATATATTCTTTACTCTACGATTTTAAATTAAATATTAATAGATGACATTTAGTCACAGTAAATTTGCCGGTATAGAACTGGAAAATAATAACTGTAAAAATAAAATTTATGATTATTTTCGTTTTTTATTTTTACAAAAAAGCCTGATCTACATCCAGTGCGTGTCGAGAGAATTGTTTGCAATAAAAATACAACTTAAAGGATCGATATTTCTCTGTGAACAAACAACATTATATTTATTTTAATTGTTATACGAAATACTCAGTTATATGTTTTTTTACTGTTAATATTTTGGAAATTAACATTTTACAATCAACATATTACATAGGTAGTATATAATATTACACACATTCAATATAATGTAGTATACTTACAAAATTTATATTTTGTGTATTGATTTAAATTAAGAGCTTTGAAATCAATTATATCTGCAGTATCAATCGGCCAAAATTGTGTCAAAAACTTTAATTTGTTTGTAATTTATTTTAAGAAGTAAGTAAAATATTCAAAAAGTAACGGAGGAACTTATTTTATGAGAATATAATAATAAGCTCATTAATTTATAAAACCGTAAAACTACGTATTCACGTATTAATTGTGCGTACAAGTATTTTATCAATCCTTATTTTAAGTTTTAAAATATTTTAAAATTGATTTGATGAAATACTTGTATTTTTACTGATTGAAGTTTATTTTTATTATTATCAAAAAATTTTCAAATATTCATCAATTTTAATAACATATTATAACGTAGTAAATATGTAATTAGATAAAAATAATCTAACATTGAAAGTATTAGAAACTATATTATACTGTATATTCATAGATAATAATTAATATTCTACATTCCTCTATAGTTATATTAATATTCAATTATTTAAATTAATCTATATATATATATATATATGTAAGCAACTATGTAGGTATGCAATATGTATATTATTAAGGTATAGTCAGCATAGGTAGTAGGTACCAAATAATTATCATTAAAAGGTGTGTTTTGGTGTTTAATTTTTGTATGGTATCAAAAACGTGTATGTACTTATATTTATCATAGTTTTTAATTTTAGTGTACATCATAAGCGGGCTACACACGTGTAGTTAAAACTGTACAATTCAACTGTATAGTTTTATTTGTATAGATAAATGTTACGTGTGTAAGCTAATACGACATAATTGTTAACCTAACTGTGAAGTTGATCGGAAATACATTTAAAATATCAATTGATAGAACTCTGGCGATAAAACAATGTGTGTATATGCAAAATATACACTGTATAGTTTTATTTCACTACATCCACGCGCCAAGTTAATTCGTAATTTTAAAAACTGAATAACAACGTATTTCATACTATTATTTATTATCCTTGCCGTTTAAATTATAACAAAAAAAAATACGTGAGTGGATGGAAGAATTTATTGAAATGTATCCAGAGGCGAATCTAGGGGGTTTCAGGGGGTCAGCTGACCCACAGTTAATATTTTTTGACAAAATTGGCCTCTTGGAAATGTTTTTCTCTTTTTAGACCTTAATTTGGACTCTTGGACAGTTGGCCCATCGGAGTTACTTGAAAAATGAATGTTATTTATATTCAAAATTTAAAATTTTTCAATTCAAAATTTATATTTTAAATTATATCGTTTTAGTAGAAAGTTAAGTAAATCATATTTTATTCCGTACATTTGTTTCGCTGATAAAATTAGATTATATTTATTAATCGTAAATAAGTTAGTATCGGTGGTATCACTAATTCTAAAATGTAATATAAATATATTTGTACACTTTTATGAGCATATTGTGTGTTTTTTTTTTTACAAAGTATTAATTTCTAATTCAGTTTCATCCCTAATAAATGGCCTCTTGATATGGCTTGACCCACAGTTCCCCAACTCTGGATCCGCCCCTGAATGTATCGTTCCGAACCGGATATATGGTGGTAATATAAGTGTAGAATATTTAAGACATTCATAGGTTCTTCCAGGCACTAAAAAATGTAA